ACCTCCCAGGAATGGGCTTCAAAACTCCTTCAGCCTCCACCGTCAAGACCAAGCAGTAAGTAAGGACAATAGTCTGAGGTCTCACCAGGAGGGGAGCCTTGTTCACATCCAGGAGGATGAGGACAGGCTGGGGATCCTTGCGTAGGTGGAAAAGGACACCAGCCAGGAGACAGAGCAGGGCAGCCTGGCCAGCTCCTCCTGCCCAGATCCTACACCACAGAGTGCAGCCACAGACCCCATAGACCCTGGCATGCAGCACCCTGTCTCTGGGGCATTTTAAGAAGCTAGTGGAAAACAGGATTCTTCAAAAACAAAAGCCACCTAATGCAAAACATTTAATGTCGATTGTTTTTTTTCCCCTCCTCAATGAAAGCTTTTTCTTAAATATCATGGCCAGAGTTTTTCAAATGTGTCCAAACTGCCCATAAATCACTATTTATCATGCCCATACTGTACTTCACACACAACATCTCACTGTGTCTGTCACCACCACATGCAGGGAGGCTGGCCAGCTTCTCAACATACACCCCATAGGTGTAAGTGGAGCGGGTGGGTGTCAATCTCAAGTTCCTCTTGCTCTTAACTGCTAGGTACACAGCCACCAGGTCCCCAGATTGCTAGGAGGTAGTGGGACCCAGCGAGAGGGGAAATCCAGTTCATTGCAGTGCTTCAGGCCACAGGTGTGCCTCAAATGAATTTGTTGCAGGAATCGGGAATATGAGTAATTGAGACATAGCCTTATTCGTTGATCTCATTCATCTTAAACTCACCAGTAGTTAGGAAGCATCCATTCCAGAAATATAAAATTCATGCAAGAAATTCTCCATCTTGAATGTTATATCCCATATGCACCCAAATGCTACTGATTTGTCCACTCCCAGGCAAAAACAAGACAAAACAAAACAAAATATGTAAGCTCCTGCCAAAGCCCTGAGTAAATCGCAGGAAATCACTCAGAAGCCTTAACTGTGTACTTCTAGAAATCAGTTCCTAGATTTTTACAGTACTACCCATTTAGTCCCAACCACTGGTTGGTGGGACTAAGGGTTGGCATACTTTGCTGTGGGATAAGAACTACAGCACCGTTAGAAGTCTGAGGTATGTGTCCTAACTCTGCCACAAATTGCTGAGTGTCTCTAGTTACCCACTTCACTTTCCCGGACCTCAGTTTTTCCCATGGTAAAACAGGACAGCTGGAACAGAATCTATGTTGCCCAATCTTTTCCATGCCATGACACACGTAGAAACAAATAAAGCCCACTGGGGTGAACAGATAAGGTCCAAGACTCAGGACACACCAAGGAGAACTATCTCAGAAGAACTGTAGCTCATTTGTGGCATTCATCCGAGAAGATGGATTGTTTAAATACCACTAAAATTCTCAGTCTGTGCTACTCCCCAAATAATTTTTAGGAGGACTCCAAATGACTCCCTTATCCAACTTGCCGATCACTGGACTTCTTCGTAGAATCTTGTGAAATTTGAGATCACATCTTATGAATACAGAAACAAAGACTGTCTAGAGCAGGGCCTATAGACCCGCTATTAAGATCCCATTAGTGAGCTTGACTAAGTCTGTCAACCTTCTGAAGTTGTAGCCAAGATGTGGTGTGTGTGCTGGTTGCTCTGGGGAGATACACACGGCTCTCAGCAAGTTATCCAAGGGGAGATAACTCCACTGTCAGAAAGGGCAGAACTTACTGCTGTCGAAGAAGCCTAATCTACCCTTTAAGACGCGTGGGTGTGTTTTACAAACCCCAAATCAGACCAGTGGTCTGACAACAGCAGAGTCTATTCAAACCTGAGAACCAGCCCGGAGTTCAAGCATGTGAGATGCCTGTCCCCTTGAGTAAAGGAACACTTACATAGGACACAAAATGCATTTTAACAAAAATAAAATTTAAAGTAGCACCTAAGTGGACACATAGGTACTACAGTAATAGGGTATTGGGCAGGGGGGAGGGGGGAGGGGGGCAGGTATATACATACATAATGAATGAGATGTGCACCATCTGGGGGATGGTCATGCTGGAAACTCAGACTTGTGGGGGGGAGGGCATTTATTGAAACCTTAAAATCTGTACCCCCATAATATGCCGAAATTAAAAAAAAAGACCAAAAAAAAATTTAAATGTGCTGCCATAATCCATTCATATTATTACATTGATAATACATCTTTAATACTTTTCAACAAAAAGTAAACTTAAGACACAAATGGGAGAGAGAAAAGCTTTTCGACTTAAAATTCCAGCTAAAGAATTCACCAACAGAGCTGGCCTCAGAGGTTTCCAGAAGCTACCTTTTCTTCTGACAGGTTGGCTTTCTTTTTTGCTGACAGCTTCGACTGATGTCCTGTGGACTCAGTCATTCATTTATAAATGGTTGGTCACTGGAGAACCTGATTTCTAAATTCATAGGCAGGCCGGGGGCCCCTGGGAGAGGGCACATCCCAGGCTCTGTCCTACTGTCCTGATGCCGTAGCTGCTTCTGCCTCCTTCATCCTTTGGAGGGGAGCCTCTGGGAGGGAAAGGGCAGGATGCTAGGGACACCCCCAAATCAGAATGGTGGGGGGATTCACCAATTATTTGCCAAACCACAAGCCGGTGACCACTCACCCATTGTGGTCCAGATTCTACTGCCCAGGGGGTCAGTCAAACGACCAGAGACGCTGCCACCTGCTCTTGGGTGGCCCCCTGGCATGGCCAGGTCTCATGAGCCAGACACGAGCAGACAGTCTCAGAGACCATCCCAGGGAAGAAAAGACCAGCAGATAGTGAGGGGGCAGAGTGAGGAATAGATCAGCGACGATCATTTTTCTCTTGGGAACAACAGGAGAAACAGCTTGTTTTAATTAAACTAGCAAATCCTCCAAGAGGAATTATGATCCTCGTGTTGGAGAGATAAACTGAAATGCAAAAAAATTACAAACATATCTGATTAGAAGGGCCGTCGATGGGCTCATGGGGCTGTTTGGTGATTGAGTGTTTGCTCTCCTCTCCATACCCTGCAAGTAGGGAAAAGGAAGGAATAAAGGAAGAAGGGAGGGATGAACTATGTAAGAATAATGGGACAAAAAGTAAATATTATGGGTGAACCCTGAGGACATTATGCTAAGTGAAATAAGTCAGACACAGAAGGACAAACACTGTATAATTCCACGCAGGGAGGTACCTTGTGCTCAAAGCAGCATAGCAGTCACCAGGGGCTGCGGAGCTAACGTTGAATGGGGACAGAGCTTCAGTTTAGGAAGATGAGAAAGTGCTGGAGAGGGATGGTGGTGATGGTTGCGCAGCAGGTGAGCATACCTAATGCCACCGAACTATAGGTGCACTTGAAAATAGTTAAGATGTGTATATTTCATGTTCATATATTTTACCACAATTAAATTTTTATGAAGCAAATATTAAATAACAAAGAGTGGCCCTATGTCAAGTCAGGGTAATAAACAAGTAGGATGATAAGCATATCTGTCATGCTATGTCACCTTGCAACATAAATTCTTTAAAGAGAGGAGTGGGCTCCTTAGCACTTAAGAGTCCACCAGGCACTGAGTACCAACCACTGCCTGTGAATGAGGGGCACAGTTTGCCCCACCCCGTCCTGCTTCCCGTGCCATCCGGGACTCACAGTTTTCCCAGCTCACCCTCCTGCACCCACTCCTGCCACACTGCCCAGCCTACCCACAGGCCAACTCCATTCCAGCCCCCACTGGCTGGTCCTCATAAGGCCCACTCACTAAGCCTCAGTGTTACCAACCACAGCTTGCAAGGGTTGGTGTCTATCTATCTAATTTCCTCAAGCTAAGATCTTGGAAAGTACTGATGAAGGTTTATAACTCATTTTTAGTATTAAAAAACTGTGTCAGTCATACACTGATGAGGGCACGCACTGGCTCATTAGAAGCTTACATCACTTTCCGTGGACTAGAATTATGTCATCTCTGTGCGCTAATTGCACCTCTTGCATGCTGCTCAGAGTTCTGGTTGGCATAGGTGCCTGGAAAGAAACGGAAACAAATTCTTTCCTACTTTGGTTTGATGCATACAGTCTCTCAAAGAATGTGCCCACTGGGAGGGTGACCAAAGGGCAGTGGTGGCCACACCCCAGTGTGTCCCCACTGGTCTAGGTGACCCCTAGGTCGCTTGCAGTAGCAACGTGCTACGACCGTGATCGCAGCTCTTCGTTGGCACTGGCAGAGGGAGAGAGACACAGACACAGTGGACACTGCCCAGGGGCCAGGCCCATCACACTGGACATGCGAAGACAAAGTGTGGCCACCACACCAGCCCTCCCCAAGCCCCAGACTGCTCTCCTGCCGTCCCCCGACAGCCAAGGCTCACGTCTCAGGCCCTGTGGGAGCCGTGTCATGGGCAAACTTTCTGACACTTCAACTGCTATCTCCACAACCCGCCATGACCCGTTCCCGAGGGACAGAAGTGCTGTGTGTAGGGGACTGACATATATTTTCCTAGTTTAAGAATTAAATTTAGTAATGTACATGCTCTGCCCAGAGCATTTAAAAGTAATATGTTCCAGACAAGGCCCCTATTGCCTTGAGGCATAACAGAAACAAGGTGTTGCCTAGAGGTATAACAGAGGACCTGAGTTGCAAGTAAGCAAGAGCTATCCCGCCCCATGGTATTGGGGGTCTGGAGGCCATGCGATAAATACATTGTTCCTGTGATTGCTGCGTACACCCCATAAGATGTCTGGTCAGTCAGTGACGGGTAAGACCCCACAAGGGAGGGGTGACCTAAGCCAGGCACAGCCGCCGGGGTTCAGCCGAAGATCTTAGGGGGTCACCCTAAGAGAAGCTGGGGATGAGAAATGCCCCCTGTGGCTCACCTTGCCCATCCTTGCTAATCTCGGTCCATCATCTATGCCTAGTGCCTAGAGCAACCACCTTGAAATTCTGAGTCAGGGGATATCTGCTTCCCTAAGGCTACACATTCCAGAATTTATGGCTATCGCTGCCACGCCTGGGTGGTTATGTACAAGGAACTAACTTTAATCTTTTAGAGTATAAAAATAAAACTGACCCGGTGTATTATTTATTATTACTCGAGTCAGCCGTTTGTACGTGTGTCCGCGTTTTTCCTCGTGGTCTGCGTTTGTGTTTTGTGTTCTGCGTTCGTCCTCCATCCTGTAAGCGGGCCACGACACCGTGTCTCCCCGGTGACACAGCGAGTGCCTGCCAGCATCCGTGAGCCACCAGGTTGAGCAGGCCTTCTGGAGAAGCCACATTTCTCCCTGAGGAAATAGCATGATCCAAGCAAATGCACAATGACAAACACAGACCCTCTCACAAGTCCCTAACTACGAGCTTCGGGGGTGGACAGCCCCCGGGAAATGCATCCTCGCCCAGTGTGAGCCACCACAGGATGACGAGTATCCATCAGTGCGTGATGAGCCTGGGACTGTCCTCCCCGCCACCGGCCGTGTGGCCATGGGGCGTGTGCCGCAGCAGCTGGATGGGAGAACGAGGCGGATACCTCCTGGGTGGCATGCGGTACCTCACTTTCTTCCAAAACGCGGACTTTGCACACTGCGGCTGCCCTGAGACGTCCCCGCTCCACTGGACGGCCCCGTGCTTCTGCCTGATGTACTGGATCGACTCCGGCAAGGCCGCGTAGTCCTCGATTTTCTCCAGCTCGATCAGAATGACCTTGATCCCGTCCTGGACAAGGGCATTGTAGACGGCGATTTGTTCTTCCGACATGTTCTTTAACAGGCCCAGGCCCAGCGATTCGGGAACCAGGATGACGATCAGCCTCCTGCACAGCCTGCTGCTCACATCGATGACATCGGCCACGGCTGGAAGCAGAGGAAGAAGAGTCAGCAGAGCTCACGATTAAAACAGCCCACGTCAAAGTGCCACCGAGAAGACCGCAGACAGGCTCTGGGAACACGGACTTTCAATCAACTCAGCTTAGTCAGGAACAGAGTGACAAAGATTTTTACCCTTTGTTGTCTCGTCTGTGAAAGCTTCCTGGCTTTCCCTGAAGAACTGGTCCTCTGTGGGCGTGAGTCATGTTTTTGTGTGGTTCGATGGTATGTCACTTTCCCCGGGCAACAAGCCTCTCACCATGCCTGACTCTATATTCCCAAACCAGCTGGAGGTCTGGCGTATATTAGATGACGAACACATTTTAAAAAATAGATTTTAAAAGGATAGGAAAAATGTAGTCTGAGCAAATATTGTTACTGATCTTGTATTTGTGTTTTCCTCTTGTTCTTTACAGCTATTTAAATGGCCAGGATTTATATAGCTAAAATAGAAACCAAATAGCATGCCCTGATGATTACTTGGGGAAGGAGGGGCCAGTTCTTTAAATGCCCAGCTCTGCAGGTGCTGTCAGGTCTGCAAATGCCTCTCGTAGGATATAAGAATTGCCTGTCACCTCCCCAAAGGACAGGTCTTCTTCTGTTTGGCTGATTTTTGTATTTCTAGCACCTAAAACGGTGTTCAGCACATAGAGGTTCTCAATAAACATTTGCTGAATAAGCGAGTGCATGACATTTCCTGGTGGCTAGGAAAGAAGGTTTATTTCAAGATTTCAACCATTTTACTGTATAGACTTCAAAGAAAGAGAAGAAAGGAGACAAGAGGGAACCGGTGTGTGGAGTGTCTAATGTGTGCTAAACTCCACACTGGGTCCTCCTCATTTAACTCCCTCAGCTGAGTCAGGGAAGCATGCTTGTCCCCATTTAACAGATGAGGCAACTGAGGTTTGGAGATGTTCATTGAACTGCCCAAAGCCACACTCCTGTAAAATGGGAAAAGCAAATACAAAACTTCCATTTTATTTAGGCAGGGGAGGAGTGAGTGGGATTGGACTTTATAAAACCAGCTTTAAACATGACCTGATTTACATATTTAAACACTCAGCTGTTAGTCTCAGTGACATGAGGACAAATGATCACTCATCATCTTTCAGCCTTTTGGCCAAGACAACGTCCCTGGCCACCTGTTCCTGTGAGTGGGTTAACCATATCCTTACTTCAAAGTGAGACTCATACTACTGCAACCAGGAATCCCAGGCATTGTGGTGCAGGAATGAGCCTTGTGAGGGCACAGGGCTCAGGTGTAACCTCCTGGGCCTGGGGGCTGGCCAGGCCAGGTGGCTCTGGCCATAGACTGCCTATGGTTCTCTGGGGAAGGTGAGCAGAGTCACTGCCATCAGTACAGTGAAGGAAGAGAGAGGGTGCTTTCTGGTTTTTTTATTTGTTGTTTTTACACCTCATTTAAAACTCACCTTGTCCAGGAAATTCATCCCTGCCAAATATAAATAACTTGTATCCACACTGTCTCTCCAGCACCTCAGGCAGGACCTTCAACACCAGTGTGTCCACGGCGTGGCTCTGGCTTTCTTGGTGAGGCTTGGGGTATAAGACATACGCATCATACAGCTTCCCATCTGCAAAGGAAATGGAACACGCTTATGGAATGACTCCTACCACATTCTCTCATGGTAGCGAAGTGAAAACCTGAGTTGCTACCATGACGTCCTTTGGCTTGGTTTCAGTGACTTCAGCATGCTCGGGTGGCTGACTAGGCACTGACAACTACAGCATCTCATTCCCACAAATTGGCCTGCGGAGGAGGTCGTCTTCTCCCCCAGCTGAGACTGGAAAGGTTGCGTCATTTCTGCAAATCCTTATTCCACCCCGCATCTTTTGATTCTATGTCTCTCACTCCCTGTGACAGGGCTGGAAACAAGAATTAAAAGGAGGGGACTCTACCCACATTACCCTCAGTGGTTCCTGTGCAAAAGAGGATTGTTTTAACTGCACCATGCAAAATGGGCAAATTCCTCTTTATTTAGATCCATCAGTGAATTCTGTCACTGCAATTTTGTGGACTTGCATTGCAGAGAGAGAGAGCATCCGAGCAGATTCTAGGAATCTGTTGTGCCATGCTGAGAAGTGAAACCCGACAGTACCCGTCACCCTTGTCAGAATGAGCAAGAATTTACTGAGCAACCACAGGAACAGTCCCTGTGCTGGCCAATGCAAAGATGAAGGAGACACAAGATCTCACTGAGCAGATCGTTCGTATACACAATGAGATGACAATAGCTAATGGAACAGAAGAAACAACAAGAAAGGAAAATTCCATATAGTCTGGAGTTCTTGGAAAAAATTCGATAAGGACATGGGACAACTCCTGGATCCTAAATGGTGTGTGTTGGGGGGGGGGGAGTTTGGAAAACAGTGAGTGTCTAGGAGTTGAGGGTAAGTAGGCAGCAGGGGAATAGCTTACGGAGGGAATGGAAGGGGAATGTTTATGCCTTGCTCCAAGGTCCTGTGAATGAATAAGGAATTTCAGGAGGGTTAGAGGGATTGAGTGGGAGAAGAGGTAACTGTGGTAATCTCATTAGAAAATGTGATTTTGAGCTTTGGGCCACTTGGAAATTCAAAGCCAACCAAATCAGTCCCAGAGAGAGGAGCTGTTCTTCTCTATTCTGTCTTCATAACCGTTCATTTGATGAACAGACTTGGAGAAAAAGGTGTTTCTAAGATTACCATAAGAAGGCAAAAATCTTGTGTTCTTATAGTTTTTGTCTAAATAGCAGCAGTTAAAATGTGTACAGAACTTTACAGTTTACATGCAGCCTTTTTTCATTCCATCAATTCTCACACCAGTTGCTGCCAACCTTCAGGCCTCTGCTCACCATTCTTGGCCATCCTGCAGAGAATACGCACACATGCACACACATGTACATGCATGCAACTGCACACACGCATGCTCGCGTAGCTGTACACACATGCATGCACACATATGCAGTCATACACATGCACACACAGCCATATGCACGCACACCAATTCATGTATGTGCACACATGCACAGTCATACACATGCGTGCACACATGTGCATGCCCCTGTCATAAAAGGAAGCTATGTGACAGTGGGGACTTTGGCCTCCTGCTCTACCCTTAGCCCCTAGAGCAGGACCTGGTGAGCAGGAGGTCTCAATCAGCACTGGCCTAATGCCCGAATGCAACTTGATTGTACAGAGGCTCAGAGAGGTTCTATCTATGCTGGGCACAAGTCAGATTCAGCTTTTCAGTGAAGCGGGGTCATCAGGCAAATACAAAGAGGATAATTAATTTGTGCCTGGAGTTGGCAAAAACCCAACCCAGCTAAAACTCCTATGGAATCTTAAAGGTCACTAGTCTGGGCCACCACTCAAATACGTTGATATTTTTCTGTATAAAATGTAATGTCACACATTTGAATTTTCAGAGACAGAGAATTTTTTTTTCTGTATATAAAAAAGGTAAAAAAAAAAAAAAAAAGAAACATTTCATAAAGTTCTTAGGTTTCTGAACTTTTGGAGAAGGAATTAAATTTTCCCATTTAAAAATTGTATCATTTTGTTCTGACGAAGGGCTGGTCCAGTTAGTGCTCCATTTACCAAGCGCAGCCTCTCCGGTACATACGGCATCTGTGGTCTCCAACCTACAGCCAACATTTGGATTATCACCGCCTTGTCCCAGGTCCTGCCTACTAGTCTCTCTCTTTTCTCACTCTGTTTCTCTTTTTTTCCCCACTGCCTCTGATCATAAAACACACACACAAACAAACCACTTCTGCTAAGTGTTCTCTCTTTTGCTAAAGTTCCATGTTCCCTATTTCTAAGCAAGGTGTCCGAGGACACAGGGACTTGCAGCTGCCCGAACTCAGGAACAGAAGAGATCTGGTAGAAAGAAAGTCTCAGGCCTTTTAAAAACTCAAATGTAAAAATGCCCCCAATTATTTTAAAATATTTTTTTCTTTCTTTCTGACTAAGCTTTTGAGTAGAAATAGGACTTGCTGCCTGTTCAACAAGTGCAGTGGGTTTCTATCACTTCCAAATGACTGATTCATAATTTACTGACCAATAATGGCCAAAGACCAAGTTGTAGTCATTTTGCCTTTTGCATCAACACCCTGATTTGGAAGGGCCTTGTGGGGCAACAGCACCCCGGCATTTCCTGCCTTTTCCTCTCTCAACCAACTGTGAGGGACACGACTGTAGCATCAGATTATGAGTAAGGAAGCTGAGGCCAACACGGCTGCATGAGCTCTCCGAAGTCCCCCAGCTAGTAAGTGCACAGCCCGGATCCAAAGCCAGGTTCACTGTTCCCACTGGTGTGGCGAAAAGGAGAAATGGGAGCAGAAAACTTCACAAAGCTTATCCCCGATTAGTCCTACGCAACCACATCAGAATGAATTTTCCAAAAATAGACCTAGCAATATTTCCAGTCCTACATGTGCTTTCAGAAGCTTGCCACACCCCTATGAAGGAGCAGAATTTATTTCCATTCCCTTAAAATTGTTTTCCCTTATTGGCTGTTGGCAAAAAAAAAAAAAAAAAATACAAAATCTCATTTGTTTTATAAAGATTTATGAAACATCACCTAAAGATTATTCAATTCCCTACTTTCTCTCAATTTTAGGCCTGATCAAACCAGACCAGTGGAAAATCAGATTCAATCTGGCCTTCACACAAATGCTTTTACTGAATTGCGTAAGGTTTAGTGGTTTTAGCCCCAACATGCACAGAAGACACTAGAAGAAAAGCCACATAAAACATGCTGTTACATTTAATGGGAATGTCATTGCAGGCAAGGTTCCTTATACCAAATCCCTTTAAAATGAGGACTCCCTACAAAAACAAATTTAAAAAAATCTCCCTTTGGACATTAGTGCCGGAAAAAGTCATGTTTTTCATGAGCAATTGAAAGGTTTTTGTGAACAGCACACAGTAAATCTCGGAGACACCTTTGCTTTAGCTTCGAAGGCAAATTCACTTTTAAAAATTGTGCAAGATTTGTTGCTAGCTTTACCCTAACTTGTCTTCTACCTTTGATTTCCCTTTGTTTTCTGTTTTGTTTTGTTTTGCTTAGCTTTGTTTTGACCATTCTATCCTACATGTACATTTTCCACAGACCTGTCTGGAATAAGGTGAGGCATATACAGATCTCTCTTACACATTTGTAAACTGGACTCCCCATGCTTGTACACCCACATGCACCTGAGAGGAGAATTTGAAAAGTCCCTGTGACTCGGTAGAGAATATCTAGAACTTGTGACTTCAGTCTTTCAATGGCTCTTACTAAAATGTGAGTCATACACACCCAACTACTAATTGTGTTATAAAGCTTAACTAGCCTCATTGGGGTGAACAGCTTATAAGAAGGACGTAATTGCTTTCCCTTCCTCATTTGTATTTGTCATCTGTTACTTGGATGTGCCCAGCTAGCCCAGAAGACACCCTCAAGACACCCAAAGCCATAAACAGGATCTGGGACTAATCTCAGAGTCCATCACTAGCTCACTGTTGCAGCCAACACCCAGGAGCTATTAGAGTGTAGTTCTCGTAGATGGAGTTGCAGAGAATGTAATCACAAAGTGCACACATACTGTTTTTCTGAATTAAAAAAAAAATAAGAAGGAGAAGAAGGAAAAAGAGGACTCCTGGCTGCCTGTCAGCCCCAATCTCTAAATACTCAGCCCACCACTGCAGAATTGGGGTGACAGCCTGGTCCCAGCAGTGGGCGGGGCTCCCCTCCTCCCGTGAGTCAGTCACTATTCCTTTTTTTTTCTCTTCTTACCCAACTTGACCTCACTGGCAGCTCCACCACGCACTCTGCGCAACAATGATAAGTCACAGCCCTCGTCACACTCCTGGGAGTTGCAGTGACTCAGGGAGAGAGACACACCACCGGGCTGGAGCTTCCGGGAAGACCACGGACAGCGGCGCAGGCCTCTGTTCGTCAAAAACCAGAAAGCGGCCGGACTACTCACATCTGTGCCAGAAACAATAAGCGGTGGTGGTGGACTGAATTGCCTTCTTCTCAAAGATGCTGGCAGGACTGCAGTCATGGGAGGGCGTAGACAGGGCCATTCTCTGCAGGGACCGCACGCCCCTCCAGGCTATGAGCCGCCCTTTAGGTTGTGTAGACATGCAAGGCCCAAATGAATTTTACCATTAGAAAGGAGTGCATTGCTTTCTATGTTGCTCAAGGGTCGCTAATTTTGAATTCTGAAATTTGATTTGGAATAAAGTCTATGTCAGGACATCTATGTTCTATCAAACATGTGGAACAACAACTTGTGCCATTTATGCTATGTGCAAAGCAGGTGCTTAGTGTCAGTGACCTCTTCTGTGCGTTAGAGACTCTTTCAGCTTGCCTGACACCTGGTCCCCCACTTTCCCACTCCTATCACTGCAAGTCTCTGGACGTCAAAGGCATAAATCTGTGCATCTCCCTGCATGTCAGCTGCACAGGCTTCTTTAGGCTTGATATTAGTTTTCCCATCTAATTAGGGGACAGCAAAGTAGAATTTATTACTTTCTTCAAAGCCATAATAGAACAAATCCACTCTAAAATAAAAAAGAAAGTAGCACAAAAAGTTACAACCACCATGGTGGGAAATGCCTGTGCTCACAGTTTCAGTCTCACACTGAGGCATTTCTGTGTCAAACAGCACCGGCAGGACATGGGCACCACTAAGACTAAGACTCCAGAGCACAGCAGTAGGGGGTGGCTTGCTTTGATCTCCAGACAAGCAACGGACACCCTTGTGCCCCAGACCCCTGCTGAATGTGCTCAGTTACTCCTACGGCAGTCTCAGTGAAGCAGGGTTTGATTATTTTCCTCCCGCCCTTCCTTCCTTCTTTTTCTTTCCCTTCTTTCCTCCTCTCCTTCCTTCCTTCCTTCCTTCCTTCCTTCCTTCCTTCCTTCCTTCCTCCCTCCCTCACTCCTCTCCTCCCCTCCCTTCTTCTTTCCTTCCTTCCTTTCTTCTTGCTTTTCTGCTCTCCTCTCCTCTCCTCCCTCTCCTTCCTTCCTTCCTTCCTTCCTTCCTTCCTTCCTTCCTTCCTTCCTTCCTTCCTTCCTTCCTTCCTTCCTTCCTTCCTTTCCTTTCCTTTCCCTTCCTTCCTTCTTGCTTTCCTCCTCTACTTCCTTCCTTCCTTCCTCCCTCTATCCCTCCTTCCCTCCCTCCCTCCCTTCCTTCCTTTCTCCCTTCCTTCCTTCTTTCCTCTATTCCTTTCTAAAGCTGAGAAAGAAAAGAAAGTTAAATACAAATATGAGGGCTATCTGAAAAGTATCCAGCCATTGTTAATAGAACAAGAACATATTACATGGTTGGATATTTTCTGGTGAGCCCTCGTACCTATCTACATTTACACAGGGAGCAAGTGGAGAACCCAAACTCAAACCTGAGTCCATCTCTCTCCAACCTGAGAGTGAGAAACTTAAACCCCTTCAGGCACCAAGAACAGGGCCTACAAAGAGCCACCACCACAGGTGGCTCATCACTTTCCACGACACACGCTCTAGACAGGCACCGCTGTGCTGCAGAGACGCCGTGGGCAGGGAGCACTCTGCTCCTGGAGAAATTTCCTCCAGCGGATGGAAGGTGCATGAGAGAGCCTTTGTACCATGGTTGCAGGAGGGCCCAGAAGACGATCTCCTCCTGCTGCCACAGCAATATGGACTGGGGCCCTAAGAACGCGCAAGCTTTATTGGCCGGGATGATGCTGGGGATCACGGACAAATCCTTCCTCTGAAGCATGGGACGTTCCAGGAAAATTCCTTCCTCTAAATTTGCCAACAAGTATATTTAAAATGGTTATATGGATAAGAGGATACAAATTTTGAGGCATTTTTCGGGGATTACACACACTTACCTTCCGTGGTCCCGGTAGAATGGAAGGCACTTCTATACCAAAGTGCAACGTCAATCTTGAAAACGCTGTAGAGCCACACGACAGACACAGCGACAACAGTCAAGGCGACCAGCCCGCCTATCAAGTAAGCTCGAAAATCGGGAGCTGCCAATGACACATAAAAATAAAATAATAATGATGGTACCAAGAGTCCATTACTCATGCAGATCGCATGATACATGACCAAGGCACATGCATTAGCTGTCAGTGAGGGCACTGCTGAACTATTTCTTTAAATGGTTAGCATGAGCGTAGAATAACCTGATCTGGACCATAATGTTAGGAGCCAAATGGGCTCTGGCAAACCTTTGAGAGGAACATTCTGCAGAGCCCTGGTTGCCACGGTAGATGCAGCATGGACCCAGCTGCACGAGGACTGCTTTCAAAACACACATGTCCAGGTCCTACTGAGTCAACACAAGACTGTGCAGAGGCGAAGCCCAAGTATGTTTATTTGGATCAGTCCCCAGGTGGTTCTGTTGCACATTATTGATCACAATACTGCGGTAACCACTCCCCTCCTTACTTCAAACCGAGCAGGACTCCTGTCAGAAATAAAGAGCCATCAGTTGTCTCCCTGGAAGCCACCACTGCCAGCATGGACCGAAAGACAACCCTCACCCAGTCCTCTCTGTGCCGCCAGCTCCCTGGGCCCTGGTCGGAGCTCTGCAGCCTCGGAAAGGGTGTTCACGTCCTCGTCTGCCTCGTGAGTACTGCAGAGCAGTGACGAGCCCCAGTGGTGGGCAGGAGCTGACAAGGAGCAGAACCAGTTCCTCTGGAACCCTGAGTCCCTGAAAACGTGCTCCTTCATGTCCCAGAAGAGGAACAGCACAGCTTGCTGCCTCACCACAGCCCACACCTGTGCTGCCCAAGAAGGAGAGGATTAGAAAAGGGGAAGAAGGAGAGAGGAAGAGAAATCCTCCTCATTCTCAGAAGCCACCTCAGCCACCACTTCCCCTGTCGGCCCTTCCTGCTGTCCCTGGTCTCGCTAGATGGCTAGTGGGCAGAAGGAGAGGAAGAGCAGGTTCTTTTTCCTGAAACCCCAGGAAATATTTATAGCACATAATATCTGTACATATTTATGGGATACATGTGATATTTTGATAAAAGCATATAATGTGTAGTGATAAAATCTGGGTCATTGGGGTATCCATCACCCCAAGAATTTATCATTTCTTTGTGTTGGGGACATTCTAAATCTACTCTTCTAGTTATTTTGAAATGTACAATAAATTATTGTTAACTATAGTCATCCTATTGTCCTACTGAACTCTAGATCATATTCCTTCATCTAAGCGTATTTTTGTACTCATTAATCAACCTCTCTTCATACCCTCCAACTACCCTTCTGAGGCTCCCATAACCATCATTCTACTCTCCACCTCCAAGAGATTAATTTTTTAGCTCCCATGTATGGGTGAGAACATGTCATATTTGTCTTTCTGTGAGTAGCTTATTTCACTTAATGTCCACCAGTTCCATCCCTGTTGCTGCAAATGACAGGATTGCATTCTTTTTCGTGGCTGAGTAGTAGTCCATTGTGTCTATGTACTACATTGTCTTTATCTGTCCATCTGTTGATGGGCACTTAGATTGATTGCATATCTTGGCTATTGTGACTAGTACTGCAATAAACATGGGTGTGCAGATATCTCTTTGATATACTGATTTCCTTTCTTTAGGATATATACCCACTAGTGGGATTGCTGGATCATGTGGTAGTTCTATTTGTAGTTATTTGAGGGCCTTCCATACTGTTTTCTATGGTGGCTGTAAAATACTCCTTAAAAAGCTTATCACAACTTGCCCTAGGCCACACCATGTTGTAAACATCTTGAGGCCCCCAATTTCCAATTTACTATTGCATGTCTTTAAATACATGGCACAATAAAGCACAGTCGCTAAATACACATTTGGTGCCAAAAACAAAAAATATAAAAACTAATCCACTAAGTCCCAGTGCAGCCAGGGTAAAGCCATTGTTCTACACGATGGTGCCCAATCCAATCCTGATCACTTGTAAGAACCTCTAGCTTCCCTCCCTCCCAGATCTTCCCTCCTTCCCATCTTCTGCTCCCCTTTGCCCTTCCTCAGCTCTTATTATCATTCCTTGTGAAGCAACATAGCCACCTCTCCCTTTGGGAAGATCCGTGTCTGGGAAGCTTTAATGTGTAATTCAGAGATCTTGGTATTATGAACTGCCATGATGGGAAGGCCATGCCCACAATATTAGTGAGACTCAAAATGCCCCTGGCAGAAGTGCTCTGAAATCCTTGGGTTCATCATCATTGCATTCACGAGTGTTTGATACCCTCTGCTCTGTAAATGAGCTAAAGGATGATAAAACTGGAAACAGGACGTTAATAAATAAGTTAAAAGGGAGTAGGGACTTTGAAATAGAAGCAAATGGAGAACTCGCTGTGGATGCACGGGCAGTGCTGTTACGGGTGGTGGTCACCACTGGAGTCCACCTGGCCACCACCAGCCTTCGACCGAGATGGTAGGTGAGAGCAAGGGATGGCACAAAATTCACAGAAAGGCACAGCTGATCTAAATAGCTTAGTAGTCACCCCTGTTTACAATCTGGAGGGGTCCTCAACAAGAACAAGGAAGTCAAATGGAGAAGCTGTAAACATAACTCTGCCCTCAAGTAAACCACAAGAGACTGGAAGTTAAGAGAGTGAAATTCCTAAGAACTCAGGGCAAAAGAAACAAAGCACATGTGACCAAAGATACACTGCACGTGAGATGTGAAATGAGTGTTGGCAGAAACAAAGATGAATTTACTAAATAGGAGCTTCTTACAGGCCAAAAGCAAATCAGATAAAGGACTCCTTGCCTCCTTCCAGAAGACTGACAGGAATTAACTGGTAATAATTCACCTGTGCTTCAACTTGGCCTCAGAATCCTTCTGAACGCAGTGCTTCCAGGTAGTCCTTATCAATTAGTCGGCATTTGCATGGAAATTTACATTGGGAAGCTTCAGTCTAGGTTCCTAAATAAAGAACTCAAACGTCTAGGTTGAGGCAGATTTAAGTTGTAGCCACCTCAGGTCTCATAGAATCTCCAAGGATTCCTACAGGCGGCTTCCCCTCTTTTCTCTGGGGTGGACTCCGAGTTGCTTTCTGTGACCTAAACCACACTGCATTTCCTCTGCACTGGGGAGTGAGAGGGGAGGAGGTGCCAGCAGGTTCTGCCTTTCAGCAGGTGGAAAACAACCCTGTCTCTACTGACCCACTGCACATTTCTACACCAGCCTCAGACTCACCTCCTTCATCACAATATGGAGCCCACAGAAGACAACCTCTGTCTCTGATCTGATTCTCTCTTCTGCAGGGCAGATGAAGGCCACAACTAGGAAATCAGGAAGGCCTTGAATGCCAAACCAGGAGTTTCAATTTCAACCCAGAGGGCCTTGAATGCCAAACCAGGAGTTTCAATTTCAACCCAGAGGTAAGGAGGTGGCATTAATTAATATCCAGGCAGGGGAGTGGCAGAGTCACAGCCACCATTAGAGAAGATAACTCTGCAACAGTCACCAGAATAGACTGGACCAGAGAAAATTCTCAAAGCAAGGAAACTCTTTAGAAAACTAACATGATCATCCAAACAGCACATCATAATGGCTGGAACACAATTTTTTAAAACTCATGACATGTCAGGTTCTGAGCTTGTTTCACAAAATTATCTCCTTGTATTCTTTCACTTAATGCTACCCTAGCAGTAAATACTGGTGAATCACACTGGCGAACAATATGGCATTGCATGGAAATGTTCACAGACTCCCGTGTGGCAATTCTACTCCCGATGGTATGTCATAGAGGAATGCATCCACATGGGTACCAGGACACACGAACCGTGATTCTCTTAGAAGTATTATTTGATAATAGTTCCAAACTGGAAGCAACTCAAATGACCACATATTTATGGCAGAATGGATAAATCATGAACTGGTTATTCAATGGAATAGGATTAAACAATGCAAATGAATGAACGATACTACATGCTACACCATTTATGCACCAATGAGCCCCCTACACCTAGGAAAAGAAAACATACTACATAATTCTCTTAATATAAAGCTCAAAGCAGGCAAAACTAAACTGTAATTTTGGGTATTTCAACACAGATACAAAATCAAAGAAAAGACTTCCCTAAAAGTCGGAGGAATGATTATCTGGAGAGAGGGAGAGATGCTTTGATTAGGAAGGACACACAGGAGCTTTTCAGGTCTGGAGAGGTGTTGTTCTTAATCTAGGAGGCTTCACATGTGTTTGCTTTATAATTATTTATGTGATATGTGTATTCTGTGTGTCCTTTACTATGTTTATGCTAAATTTCACAATAAAAGTAAAAAGGGAGATCTCAATTGATTCTCACAAGAACCCTCAAAGGAAGGTCCTATTGCAATCCTTATTTTTCAGGTAAAAAGTTGTGGGCACAGAGAGGTTGAGCAACAGTTCTGAGCTCACACAGCTCATAAATGGACAAGCCAGGATCTGAGCCCAGAAACCTGACCCTTAAAAGTCCTGGGTGGGAGATATCCTCCCATCCCCCAGTTTCATGGTGGGAATAGACAGGAAGGGTCAGGTGCATCAGGATGGCCCTAAGGAGGGGACCACAAAATTTGGCATCCCGTTGGGTACTGGCATGAGGGAAGTGAAGAGAAGGCATCAAAATGACCCAGATTTTGAGGCTGGAAAATGTGGAAGATATAAAGGTCCCATTAACAAAGGTAAGAAAAACAGAAAGAACCAAGAGGCTTGACACCTTGAATCTGCTTTCAGACTTTAGCCGATGCACCTGCAGTATACACGTGGACACATTTCTGTGTAATGCCACACTGCTCTCCAGCGTGACTCTCCAATATTTACTGCCAGAAGTAGAGCTGTATGACAGGATCAAATAAGATAATTTTTAAAGCACAGTTGGAAATGCAGGGCTGTCATGAAGAAAGAGAGACTACGACCGGATAATTGGAATCTGTTTGCACCTGCTCAAGATGACGGCTGATGCCACAAAGGGAAAGGAGATTATCAGGGATAATGATGTAGAAATAAAAGCGCCACCGATGATGGGACCTCAAGAGTCACCCAGAGGTGCCAGAGAGAGAGATGGGATGCACAGGAGTGACTGGCAGAAAGTGATCACAAATGACTCTCTGGGACCAGGACAAGCCAGTAAGAAGAGGAAGAATGGGGGAGTGGCGGCAGCTGGGCCTGGGGGTGCTTCCATGTGATGCAACCCAAGAGGGTTCCCCAAGGGCCCAGGCTGAGGAGGGGTGCTGTGCTCGCTCACAGTTATGGCAGCTGGAGCCAGCGTGACCTTGATCTCCAGGGCACAGAGCGACATAGAGGAGGCCCCAGAACCGCACGCTGCCGTGCACGTACCCATGTTCACCACTATTCTAAGGAAGGTGACAGACGCTGACAAAAGTCAGGAGCTTGGCAGGGGCACAGGCACATCTGCTAGCTCCATACAGCAACCACGATGGTTTCTGTTAAGTTCTAGAAAAATCTCTCTGGTGGGACTTTAGCTAGATGCACCCAAACATGGGTTTAACTGATCATTACGGGACACTAGGAAATTCAAGCCCTCTCGCTTGCATGTGGCTAGCTCCCCCACCCCACACACAAAATGATTTTAATAGAATGAGGGGGAAAAACAGTCTTGGTAAGCCACCTGCATTTTATAAGGTATTTCAGACACTTCCCCTGCTATGTTATGAATTTTAAAGTTGTTCTCAAGATTCTGACTTCCACTATCTGGTTTCTGACTTTATTACCTCCAGTGGACAATAGATAAGCTCCGTGCAGAGCTAGGAGCACAATTTGGATACACAAATTGAGTTGGAAGCCCTCCTGCTCAAATATCATAATTCAGCCTCAGATAATTTTGCAAAATTACAGGGTAAAAATATGCATAATCATTTTATTTGTATATCAAATTATTTATAATAAACAATCTAAAAGCTGCAAATCACAAGCAAATGGCTACGAAAGTTGAACAATCAGGCTTACTAAAGGACAACTTCTGTTTTCTTTCTGTTTTGGTGTATAAAATCTCAACATATATTAATACGGCACTCCCAAAATATACTAAATAAAATCACAGCCTCACTCTGAGAACATTATCAGACGTCGTGTGAGCTTTTCCCAAAATTTCATATCTAGTTTCTCCTTTTAATACCACCCTGCCACCTCGACTGAGCATTTAATGTCACTTTTCTTTCAGGTGCATTTCCTGGCCATCCTTCTGAAGACTCTGAACAGCATGTCACCCACGGGAACATTACCTGGGAGCTGCAGCATAATGTATGCCGTGGACACTCCCGCATGACACATGAAAGGAAGGCCATAATCTTCCATTTTCACTTCGAAGAAGGTTATGTTTACCGTGTACAAATTATGTTTCTGAAAAGGAACATGGGTTCTATAAAAGAAAAGAGCCAGTCGTTAATACATGAGTCATATTTTGCCGATATATTTTGTAATCCTTTTTCTGGTGATAATTTCTTTTTTTTTTTTTTTGAGAACACCTTGGGCCACCATTTTATCCTAAGAATACCTCACTGAGTGGCCCAGTGAAGTGTGTCATTTGTATAGTTCCAAATTTGCATTTTTTTTTTCTGGACTGTGACAAGGAGGTGTGGTTCTGTTAGCTACAGGCATCAACCCAGCCCCCACAGGGCTGTCCCCTGTTCCTCTCCACGCATCCTCACTTAGCGACATTGCAAGACCCAACACAAATTCTCTGCCCTCTGACTTCACTGGTCTTATATACACCACTCAATGTACACCACCATAAACTAAGTTTATACACTAGATTAGCCAACGACTATGCAATATCACCCCAAAGAGTCCCTGTGCTGGCACTTGTTTTGCTATTTAAGCCTTGGTTCATGGTATGGGGACTGATTTTAAGCAGTGGCTGGGAGAAGTGGATCGTACTGTTCTAAGACACACTTCATCTTCTGCCACCTCTCCCTAACTACGTCGTAGGCAGGACTGAGAACACGAACATCTCACACTTCTTTAAACCAGATGCTTGGCCATGCACAACACTGATCTTTGAAAGACAAAGCCAAAAGGAGTGACAAGGAGTGATTTTTTTTAACTCCCGTCTAAAGAAAGCAGTAGCTACACCAAATTAATTAAGACGGAGAAATTCTTGCTAGCTGTTAGTGAAGCCAGAAAAGCAAAGCCCCTACTCGATTCCTTCCGCGATTCGTTTGGATTCCTTGTAGTAATCATCCACCAAAGTGTTGTTGACTCTCCAGCATCGCAGGTTTGTGTTATCCTTCGTGTCGGTTATGTTGCAGTCCACAATAAGGGTGGTGCCTGTAAGAATAAAATTCGTAGATATTCAATGAAAATTCTACAAATTTTCAAATGTGTTAACACCTGGGTGATAAATGGCACCTTACTCTTGAGCCTTAATATCTTTTGATTACCAGAAATACCCAGCTGAATCAATGCTAATCGACTTCGCTCTCTTCCTGAACAGAGGCCATAAGAGACAAGTGGCCTTCCAGGACGGCTGTTGTAAAGAGATATGCAGGCGTTGTCACACGTCACCAGCTACTGACGAATGTTTTCCACAATATCAGGTGCACAAATACTACTTCTACTCCTAGTAACACTAGCAGAGAATTTTACAGTTAGTAAAGTGTTTTATGCACATCTTCTCCTTCAGTCTTTATATCTTCGAAACAATCCCACAAGGCAGGAAAAGGGGAGGTGTTATTACCCCACGTTACAGATGAGGAAATTGAAGCTGGAATAGGATAGATTGAGCGACTCGTCCAAGGCAACACATTAATGAGAGGAAGAAATGAGATGTGAATTCAAGATTTCTAACTCCGAATCCAGTGACATTTCCACTCCACTGAACGTGACCCTCCAATCCTTTCCCCGCTTATCCCTCACCTTCCATCCACACACATTCACAAATTATATTTCATAAATTTATATTTTCACTTCATTTTGCCCCATGAGGCTACTAAATCCTAAGTTTCAAGGAGTGTTCTTTCTTCTAGGGGGTATTTTAAAAAAATTATTGTGAAATATAACACACATGTAGTAAAAAATATATAATATAAATGTAAAGTTAATGAATTATTGCGAGGCAAGTATCCATACCACTTCCACCCCATCAGGAAAATAGTATATTGCCAGAATCCCAGAAGCCTCATTTATATTCATATCAAAAATATAGTCATCACTCATGTATCCATCCCTGAACTGTAGCTTCCACTGCTCAACATTTGTGTGTGAGACTCATCCATGTTGTTGCATGTAGTTATACTTCCTTCGGAAAATGGAATATACTACTATTTATTTCCTCTATGTTACTGTATACATATTTCCATTATTTCTTGTATTTGCTTCTGTGTGTCTACAGCTCCTGCTCTTGCACAAATTCATGCATGTCTCCCGGGGCACACGTGTACACATTTCATGTATACATAGTCGGACACATGATGGTACAGACTCCCATCTACCAGTCATAGTTGTAGATGATGGAGCCAAACTGTTTTCTAAAGGGGTTGTACCAATTTACACTTCTAGCAGCAGTGTGTGAGCATTCCTGTTACTTTATATACTCAACAATACCTGGTCAGTCTCCTTCATTTTAGCCATCTTGATTTGTGTGGTGGTATCACACTGTGAATTTAATTTGCATTTCCTTAGATTGCAACTAGGCGAGCACCTTTTTATATTTTTATTGGCCATGTGAATAGCCTCTGTTGTGAACCGTCATTCATTCTATCCTTCTACCAGGTTGTCTTTTCCTAATTTTTATGGGGTAGTTTTTCATAGATTATGGATATGATACCTTTGTTCACTTATTACAAGTATTTCCTTCCACTTTGTGGTTTGTCTTTTCATTTTTTAATGTTGGCTTTTAATAATAGAAAATCTTATTTTTAATGAAGTCCTTCCTATCAGTCTTTTCCTTTGCCACTAGTGCTTTATATGTCCTATTAAAAAAAAAAACAAAAAACAAAAAACAATCTTTCTTTACCTCAAAATAGTGAAGGTGTTTTTCTGGAAATGTATCATTTTGAGTTTCATATTTAGATCTACAATCCACTCAAAATTATTTTTATAAATGGTATGAGAAAGAAGTCAAGTTTTATTTTACTCTCTATTACATCCAATTATCCAGTACCATTTATTGAAAGACTGAACTTTCCCTACTTCTCTGTAGTGTCTTGGTCAAAATCAAGTGCCTTGTATGTGTGGCTCTATTTCTATAATATTTGCTTTGTATTTGGGTGCTCTAGTATTGGATGAATATATATTCACAATTGTTATATCCTCTTGCTGAATATTTACCTTCATCATTATATAATGACCATCTTTGTCTCTTTTTACAGGTTTTAACTTGAAGTCTGTTTTATCTGATATATGTACAGCTACTCCTGCTCGCTTTTGTTGTCCATTTACATGGAATATCTTTTTCAATCCCTTCCCTTTCAGTCTATGTCTTCACCTAACAGGTAAAGTGAGTCTCTCATAGGCAGCATGTAGTTGTACCTTGATTATTTTATCCATTCAGCCACTCAATATCTTTTAAATTGGAGAATTTAATCCATTAACATTTTACATTCAAGGTTATTATTGATAGGTAAGGACTCACTCCTGTCATTTTGTTAATTGTTTCCTGGTTGTTTATAGAGCCTCTGTTCCTTTTCCTCTCTTATTGTTTATCTTTGTGGTTTGGTGGTTTTCTGTAGTGCTAAGTTTTGATTCCTTTCTCTTTCTCATTTGTGTATCTGCTGCAATTTCTTTCTTTGTGGTTACAACAATAATTTCTTTCATTGTGGTTAACAACCTAATTGTAGTTATTTTTGACCATTTTAACCTTTAGACTTCATACTAGAAGTTTGAAAGATTTACATAGTACCATTACAGTATTGAAGTATTCTGAGTTTAATTATGAATTTACGTGTACTAGCGGTTTTTATGCTTCCATATGTTTTCATAATAGTTATTATCATCCTTTCTCTTCTAGTTGTAGCACTCCCTTAAGTATTTTTTTTATAAGGATGGCCTAGTAGTGATGAATTCCCTCAGTTTTTGCTTGTCTGGGATGGACTTTTTTTCTTTCAGCACTTTGAATATATTATCCCAGGCTTTGCTGGCCTGCAAGGTTTCTGCTGAGAAATCTGCTGACGCTCCAATGGACATTCCCTTATATGTGACTTGATTTTCCTTTCTTGTTGCTTTTAGAAATCTCTTTCTAAATCTTTCTAAATCTCTTTTTTGTCAAACTTTTGACAGTTCGATTTTAATGTGCCTTGGAGAGGACCTTTTGGGGAGGACTTTTTAAAGTTGTATTTATTTGGGGATCATTCATATTCCTGAATCTGAATGTCCATATCTTTCATAAGATTTGGGAAGTTTCAGCTACTTCATTTTATTAAGTGTGTTTTCTGTTTCTTTCTCCATCTCTTCTCCCTTCTGAATACCCATAATGCAAACATTTGATCACTTAATGGTATCTCATATCTCTTACAGGCCTTCTTCATTCTTTCTTATTCTTATTTCTCTTTTTTCCTCTGCTTGGGTTATTTCAAAAGACCTGTCTTCAATTTCAGAAAATCTTTCTTCTGCTTGATCTAATCTGTTGTTGAAGCTCTCAATTATATTTTTGATTTCATTCATTGATTTCTTAAGCTTGGATTTCTCTTTGATTCTTTTTAATATATTTCTCTTTGTTGAACTTCTCATTCAGATTATGAATTATTTTTCTGATTTCATTAAATTGTTTATCTGTATTCTCTTATATCTCACTGGGTTTCCTTAAGATTATTATTTTGAATTTCTTTTCAGGCATTTTATTTTCTTTGGGGTCTGTTATTGGAGAATTATTGTGTTTCCTTTGGAGGTATTATGTTTCTTCTTTTTTCATGTTTCTTGGGTCTGTAAGTTGATATTTTCACATGTGGTACAACAGTCACCTCTTCCAAACTTATGGAGTAGATTTTTCAGGGAAAAACTTTTTCTTGTGGATGCATACTAAGTGTCAGTTAGGTAGGATGTGTTGGCTTTAGTTCTGGGAAAACATAGTAGTGTAATCTTCATACAGTTTCTTCAGCTTTAGTCCATATCTATAATATTAATATCTTCAAGTTCCTCGGTGGCCTAGGCTGCAGGAGTTTGTACCAGCAGTAGCATGGCTTTGCATGGAACTAGGCCACCAGGCTGGTTCTCAGGCTGAGGGTGTGCCTACATGGCAGGTCCACTGGCTTGAGGATGGCCTTGCTAGGGGGCAGGACCACTGGGCCTGTTCCCAGGCCCAGGTCATGCATGTATAGTGGGTATTTTGGACAGGGAAAGTGTAGGCCTGCCTGTTCCTTGAGAGGACAGGGCACGAGATGGGCTTAGGCACTGGCATTGTAGTCATTTCATTGGGCCAAGCCTCTAAGTAACCAGGGTTGTAGGGCTGCAGGCCCCGGCATGAACATGGTAGAATGATAGTAGAGCCTTAGGGATGGAGAGAGGCAGTGGCTACCGGACCCCAGAACACAAAGCACTCTAGCAGTGGCTGTGGTTTCAAATGGTGCCATGCTGTAGTAGCAGGGGCCACAGGGCGCCAAGGGGTGAGCAAGGTGGGATTCTCCTCTGTAGCAATGCAACTGTATGAACTTTAGCCAACTTCCCAAACTGGGCTCAGGGCTTGTGAGGATTGCAGGATTCTCCTGTAGCAAAGACTGCAGGTGTCTATGGCAATAATGGAGGATGCTGGGGGCCTCCTGTTTAGCTTTTTCCCACAAGAGAAGTTCCTCCTAGATCCAAGCCAATCCTAGTGGGAGAGGCAGAGCGGCACAGACAGGGCATTTCACTCCCCTCTCTGTACTGCCATCCTAGGCTCCTGTGCCACAGGTGTTCCACCATCCCCTTGCTGTAATCCAGTGCTCTCCTTCAGATACTCCAGTCAAAATGTAGCTGTTTATTTGCTGGTTTGGCCCTTTTTTGTGGGGAGATGGGTGCCAGGTAGCTCCAGTCAGCCATCTTGTTGATATCTGTCTTTTTTTTTTTTTTTTTTTTTTGAGACAGAGTCTCACAAGCTAGAGTGAGTGCCGTGGCGTCAGCCTAGCTCACAGCAACCTCAAACTCCTGGGCTCGAGTGATCCTTCTGCCTCAGCCTCCCGAGTAGCTGGGACTACAGGCATGTGCCACTATGCCCGGCTAATTTTATATATATATATATCAGTTGGCCAATTAATTTCTTTCTATTTATAGTAGAGACGGGGTCTCGCTCTTGCTCAGGCTGGTTTTGAACTCCTGACCTTGAGCAATCCGCCCGCCTCGGCCTCCCAAGAGCTAGGATTACAGGCGTGAGCCACAGCGCCCGGCCTGATATCTGTCTTTATAACATACCTTGATACTTATAAGAAAAGGCCCCTCTTTATTTCTTTCATTCAATTTTTTCTTGGCTAACTCCTTCCAGCATTTTTGACATAAATTTTAGAAATGCTTTGAAAAATTTCATGACATTCAGTAAAATTTAATTGGTATTGTAATAAGCTTACATATTAGTCTAGTAGAAATCTAGTAAAAATCTAGCAGAAATAACATATTTTAGTATTGAGTGTTCCTATTTAGGAACACCATAAGAAATTCCTTTAAAATGTGTCTTCTTTTATGTCCTACCTGATAGGTTGCATTTTTTTTTAATGTAGGCAAGTTTTTCACATTTCTTATTCAGTTATTCCTTAACATTTTGTTATTTTTACTGCAATTACAAATTCCATTTTCCCAATAATATAATATATACTATTCCAGGCATGTAAAAATGCCATTAGCTTTGAAAGTTTATTTTTTATTAAAATGAACTTAATGAATAATTGCTAGTAATCAATAGTTTTTAGATAAGTTTCTTAAAATTTCTAAGTAGATATCTATAGGTCATTTTTAAAAAATATTTTATGTTCATCTTACTCCTTCTGTGACTTACATCTCTATCTTTTAATTGTCTAAATACATTGGCTAGAATTTTCAAAGACAAGAGCGGGAACCAAAGTCAATTAAGAGAGATAAAACTTGTCTTTCCAGGTGTGTATGAATTCCACAAGAGTATTCACATGGTGAATAATATGTAGACAAGTAGCCTTTATTGTGGACATTGTGATTTCCTATAAAGTTTAAGATAAGTCTCCTTAAAACATAGAGGCCTAGAGCCTTTAAAACAGATTTTATCTTCTTACCATTTGTTGTTTTATCTTTCACATTTCTAAATCTTTTATATTTGGGTTTCTCTGCATTTGGACGATTAGACTTGCTGGAAGTTATCTTTTTCTCCCTGCCTTACCTCAGCTCTTTTACCCCTAACCAGCTCTGGGAAATATCATTCTGTTTGATTCTTTCTTTTAATATATTTGTTATTTTCTATTTTAATATATTTGTTATTTTCTTTTAATATTTTTGTTATTTTTGTTGTTTAGTTACTCCTGTTTATAGAGTTAAATGGTTAGTTTATGTGTTTTCACTATATTTATATTTATTATTAATAATAATGATATTTAAAGATATAAATTTGTTTAAAGTGCAACATTGGGGAAAAGCCATGAAGTCTGATATGAGGTATTCTCGCTATCATTATTTTCTAAATATCCTATAACTATTTCTTTGGCTTAATTGCTAACCAAAAAAGCAAATAATTAGAAGATGGATTATTTGTTGTTTACATTTAAAAAATTTTTAAAAAAAATTTTTTGAAAAGTAATAAGTATATATATTTATGGGGTACAGTGTAATGTTTTGATATATGTTTATATTGTAGAATAATTAAATCAAGATAATTAGCAAATCCAGCACCTCACATATTTAATGAGTGAGATTATTTTCATTGTTTTGTTTTAGTTAGAGATTTATAGATTTACTGCCTTGTGATTGTAGCATGTGATCTATACAATAATTTCCTCTCTTGGACTCTGAGTTTTTCAAAGATGTGAGAGTGTGCTATCTATTAAATACATTACTCTTATTATGTTACTCAAACCATTTAGATTCTCATTTGCCTAGTAAATGTATCAAAGCCAGAGTATATTAAAATCTCCAATTATAATTGAAACAATTGTATTGTCTTATTAAATTGTGCTTGTATTTCTGAGACTTTTAGCATTATAGATTTTGATACACTGCTATTAGACACACAAAACATCCTATATTGGAAAGTGTTATAATTTTTATTAGTATAAAATGATTTAAATTGTCATTTTATGTTTTGGTCTCAAAAGACATATTATTAGATAGAAAGTTTAATATTGCCAACCTAATTTTTGCATTAATTTTTGCAAATGATGCCTTGCTTATTCATTTATTTTTAATCTTCTAGTTCATGCATTTTTAGATATGTATCTTTTGAGAAAAACATGTAATTGGATTTTAATATTTGTCTCAATCTGAACATCTGTATTTTAATGGGGACTTTGTTTAATTTGCTTTATTTCATAAGTTACTCAACATATTTATTTTACTAGTGATTACCTTTAAGTTTTAAAAAATAATTTCAGCCCGTTTTTCTCTACTTAGATCACAAACTGAAACAGAGGCAATTTTATTGATCGTTTCTTATGTATATTAAGCAATATGACATGATAATTTCCCCTACTCCTTTAATATACTTTCCATTATGAGCTAATGTAATCCAAAATTCCTGATCAACATTATTTAGTGTAGTTTTACATAATTTATTATCTTTTTCGGGAACTATTTTTACATTTTTATTGCCTATGCATAAAAAAAGTTTATAATAAAGCTCACTGCCAGACCTCTGATACCACAACTTCCCCAGGCTTCAGCTCTCTTGCTTTTCATTTTGATGCCTCTCCTGATGAGCTCAGGAATATCCAAAGCTGGAAACTGGATGTGTATGGGATTTATCTTCATTCTTGAAATTCAAAATATGTACTAGAATACATACACAAAATGAGCTCTGCCCTTGGTAATTTCAATGGTTTGAATGATTTTACTCACCAGGCTGCACTTCAATTGAATTATTTTTTGGATAAATGATTTTAGGGATATTTCCTCCATAGCCAGTTCTTTCTGCTAAGAAATCATATCCAAAGGAAATAGCATTAGAATCACATATGATACCTTCCCAAGTACTTTAATGCAATAGCATGAAGCACAGCAGAGCAGACCATCCATAAACATTGGTGGAGAAGAAATAAAACTCACAATATGACAAAATATCAGTCCATAAATACATATTTTTCAAACAGAAATAACTGAATTGCTAAAAAATAAAATTAAACTAAACTAGAAGTTGAGCTATCAAGAGAGTTCACTTTGGCCATTATATTTTGGTATAAGTATAAATGCTGAGATTGTATAATAAAATCTGACTACCTAATAATCCAAATATACTTTTCAAGCAGTGGCTGAAAGCAAAGCTCTGGCCTAGTTCCCAGCTTGAGAGAACTAGGAACCCTATGGTGTTATCTTCAGTTCCACTTCCCCATGCTCCAACTCAGCATTTCCATATTCTTTTACACCCTTTCCCCTTCTATTATTCTTCCAACTCTTCCATCCTACCACCACACTTTACCATCATCTCCCCGTATTGACTTCCTGTCTCTTAGACTTTCTCCCTCTTGCCTTCACCATTTGTCTATGAAAATTTAGCAATCACCTAAATGTCCCATATTCCTCCTATATATTTGGGATTGGATATGGAAAAGTTTTAAGAGGGAAGCTAGGAAAAAGGCAAAAACACATGTCCTGTATGATGGTGATAAAAATTATACATTCTACAAACTATTCACATTCAGCATGTCCCAAACAAAAGTTATCCCCAGCTAGTTAATGCACCATCACCCACTAGATCACACATACATAAAATCTGGAACTCATTCTAGGCAACACCTTCTCTCTCATTTTTTTCAATTTATCAATCACCAAGTCCAACTACTTTTACCTCCTAACACTTCTCAGTCTGTGCCTCTTCACTTCTAAACCCTCTGTTGACTAATCTCTATTCTTTTCCTAAGCAATCTCATTGACACCCACCTCTTCAGGAAGGTCCTCTCCCCAGGCCTTCCTCTAAACTCCAGACTCGGAGAGGCCATGGCCTGCCCTGCACCTCCACGTGAGCATCCAAAGTTACCTAATACTCAACTTACCAATGACCAAACTCACAGTCTCACTCCTAAATCTGGGTTTCCTCCGGAGCTATCTTATTTCACTGATAGCATCACCATCCAGTCTACTGCATGTGCCAAAAGGCCTGGCTAGTTTATCTGACCTTACCATATCCCCCCACACACATTCAATCCAACACTAAGACTTGTGTATTTTACCTCCTATGATGCCTTGAACCCATCCACATCTCTCCGTCTTCAACACAACCATACTATTAATAACTGTGCTTCCGTGATGTCTCACCTGCACTTCCACACCTACCTCCTAACCACTCTTCCTGTTTCCGTATGGATCATTCTGTACACGGCAGTCAGTCTGCTGTTTCAAAAATGAAAATCATGTCCTGCTACTCCCCTGTTTTCAATCTGCCTGGCTGCTTGCCATTGTTCTTAGAATAAAATCCACACTACTCACTCTGGATTGCGGGTTCCTACCTGATCCTGGCTCCTGACTACTTCTCCAACCTCGTCGCCTACCATGATATCCCTCATTCAGCGTCACTCCAGCCCAACCGGTCTGCTTTCCACCCTTTAGACACATCACAGTCCCTTTTCTTCCAGGGACCTTCACATTCGCTCCTCCCTCAGTCTGTGAAAGTCTCACCCACCCCATCACGTGGGTAATGCTTCCTGACTACCAGCGTCACTGTTATCAGAAAGCCTTCCCCGAGCCACTGCCTTCTCAAGAGGCTCTTCTCTGCTTCATCTCATATTTTCCTTTCCTTTGTTACTCATTGCTTGAATCTCCCCAGTAATTACACATCTCATTAGTGCATTATCTGATTAATCTCTGCCTCCCCTCCCTCTCAGCCTTCAAGCTTTATCAGACCTGTGGTCATAGCTGTTTTCCTCAACATCACGTTCTCTCTGCCTAGCACGGGACCTGGCCTTGTTAAGTGCTCAGCAAAGAATTATTAAGTGACCACCTGAAGGAGAAATCTCCCACTGCCTTCTCCCAAGTTCAGACTACCAACACTCTTCTGATATTGCAGCAGCCTCCTAAGTGGAGTCCAGGCCTCAGGCCCCTCTTCAAGCATGGCTTCCAACCATCTCAAGACTGGTCTCTCCCATCACAGATGCAGCCCCGAAGATCTGCACTTGCACCATGCACAGGCCCTTCTGCAGCCGCGTGGTACAGCCTATGTATAAGCAGCCCCCCTGCCCTTGCCCCTGTCTAACCCTAGGGCCTCTGCTCCCACGACTCCTCATTCATACTTACACAGGCTCTGATGAAAACGGTGCTAGATTCAACATAAACCACGATGTTTCATACACTTCCACACTTTGCCCTCCACTGTTCCCTCTACCTAGAGACCCCTCCTCACTCTGCTTTACTTTTATAAATCCTATTCATCCTTCAAAATTCATCTGAGAACTCATTTCCTCTCCAAAGCCTTCCCAGACCATTTGCTTATCACGCCTGTGGCTCTTTCTGATTCTTTTCCTGTTCCCCAGACACTGTCTATAACTCCATCCTTAGCACATAATAATAAAATGATCCATCTGCATCTCTGGATTCTCTCCCACTATGCTGAGGGTTTCTCAAGAGAAGAAACAACGCTCTTCAGTTTTGAATTATCAGGGTCTAACATAATCTTTGGCATATTACAGATTATAGATAAATGTTTATCAAACATGAAATATAGACTATTGCACTCAGTGACTTCTCAAGGGAGTCTTCATTTTACCTTAGCAATTTCCTCTTTTGAAAAATTCCCTCAGCTACCAATGTAAACTAAAGCATTATTTAGCCAGTCTTTCAGCGAATAAACAGATCTGTGCCTACTCTAGGCCAGGCACTGAGCTAGGTGCTGGGGATTCAACTTATGACCATAAGGAATGTGCCTATTTTCAGAGAGATAACAGCAGAAAAACCAAGAGCATGAAACTCATAAAATCATATGCAATTGATCTTCTTAATTAAGGGGCTTTTGGCAACGAAAATTAAAATTGAAGACCACCCAAAAAACCTTTAAATCAAGTAAGTAATTGCAGCAAAGAAGACCAGAGGACTAGAGAGGAAGGACTAGGAGAACAGCTGGAACACAGGGAGCTGCTGGACTCTAGGGAATGAAGGACCCTCCTGCAGGGCCAGCAGACAGCCGCCCATGCTGGACACTCCCCCAGGGAGCCACACCATCAAGTCAGAACCCACTCTCCCCCAGCACTTCAAAGTCTTGACAGAAATTAGTGACAAATATGAAGGTCTAAGTCAAAGAAAGATCCAGCCTTCACTTCTTTCCATCTAGATGAGTATACATTAACCACTTCAGTACGGCGCTCACCGGCGGCGAAGCCTTGCCCACAGCCAGCACTCATAGTCCACATGATAGCTTGTGCTGTGCATTGACGACGCATCCGTTTTGCTCTTGTGTGATGAGGAAAGCTTGAAAGCACTGAAAGCTTGTTTTACTTTACAGGCAGCTTTACTTGTAATGTAAATATCAGAACAGGTAACATATACATATATGTCTTCATTATGTTATTTTTTCAATGTTCACAATTTTATTTTGATAAATGAAAAATTAGAAAAGTCACATCACGGCCGTCGGTTAAAGTCGCTGTGCGCGTTCATCTGTGGCTGTCGACTGTAGTCGACGCTGGTACCGAAGTGGTTAAAAACAACTCTCTACTAAAGGAAGAGCCAAAGGCACCATAGCAGGAACTCCTTGCCCAGTGTATTTAGAAAGACAGACGCTGGCCTGGGCACGGAAGGCCCCATCTCTGGCCTCGCTTCTGACACTAACAGCTTTGTGAACTTTGGTAAGTGGCTCTCCTCCTGGGGAGCCTCTATTAATTGAGTGGCTTGAGCTAGATTATTTTTAGGGTTTCTTCTATGCCTAAGAGTCTACTGTCAAAGATCCAGGGCCTATGTTGAAGAGAGCTGGCCGCCCTGGGTTGAGAACTGAAACCCCGTGAGCAGCAGGCTATCCTGGGACCACGTCCCGAGACCCTGAGCTCTGCAGCACTTGAGGCAGGGGAGGCCACGGCTGCAATGACCCCCAGTGAAGGCTGCGAGAATGAGAGCAACGGGAATCACATCCGCCATTTTCTGAACACCTGTGCTTTGTCAGGCACCCCCCAGTAGCTACTCTGATCTCATTTAATTTCACAAATACACCCAGAGTTTTGAGTGCTCTGTTTCTGCAGATGAGAGAACTAAGATGCTTACGGCTTCTTCCCTCACTCTTCCTACCTGCTGCTCTCACGGTGACAGGTTCGAGAGCCTGCTCGCCTCACCTTCAGGAAAACCAAGCTCCAGAATCACTTCCACCTGAAGCCGAAAGCCCCAAGCCAGCTCCCATAAAGCCAAAAGGGAGACAAGGTGACAGATACGAGCACACTTACTGGTGTTCACAGTGATGCCATTTAAAATCATGTACACTTTCCCCATGTGTATCAGTCTGGCTAGACACGCGTAGTTCCCTCTGTCCTCTGCCGAGACGTTGTTCACCAAAAGCTTGATTCCCCGAGGAGTAAACCGCTCTCCTTTGATCTCTTTACAGTCCTAAATAAAAAAAAACCAAAAAACAAAAAAAACCCAAAACCCCTAAAATTCAATTCAATGAGTATTTGGAGGTACTAGTTACATTTCTATTAGCACTATCCTATTTGGTCCCTAGGACTTGACTTAAGTAAGTTACAATCTAAGCAGAAGACAGTAGCTAGATAGGTAGAAAGACAAAATGGATAGGTATGATAGATAGATACACAAAACAGGAATTCCTTGCCCAGTTTTTATGCATGTGTGTGTATATGTAAACAGCTAGACATATGATACATAGATATATGACAGATAGATACAATGTCCAAAAGATTTGACAAATAATATTTTACATGCTAAAATGAGTGATACAAACTTCAAGTCTAATAGGAGTTGGGAGGAGAGAGGCCTACATAGACCAGAAGGACGACTTCACAGAGGAGCGTTAGGCTTGGGTCATAAAGGATTTGTGCAGGAGGACATGAGCAGGTCAGAATGTCCTCCATCTGCAGGGGGCCGTCGCCCCCACTGGACTCCCATCTAACGGACCCAATCCCCTTTGCCAAGACTGCAAGCCCAGGCGAATAATGACTGCTTCTACTGTTGCAATCACACCTTCGCTCATCAGGGGTTAGACTTGATAGAAATCCAAAATGACTCTTTACCAACATCCTATTAGAACAATAGTCAAAAAACGCCAGCCAGACTTACAGAGAGCAGATATCACGTCACTTCTCATGTCCCCCCTGGCTCCACCACGTGAACAAGGACACAGCTGCACACCCACCCAACTGGAATATAGTCAGTCTCAGGAAGGCCTTTCTCTTGAAGTTGTCAGCAACCATGCAGAGGGCAAGCCTCTCCACTCCTCTGCCCTGTCTTAGGCTCACATTCTCATGATGCTAATTGCCACTTCTTTCACCTCCTGGGCTCACTTCTGAACTCACTCTCAAACACATTCTTCATCCTTCAGGAAGCTCCAGGCCTCAGAGTGACTGCTGAGCTAACTGAGTCCATTTATTCATTCAGGCATTTGAGTTCCTGCTCTTTGCTAGCACTGGGAGAGGCCTGGCCACACAGGAATAAGATGCAGTTGTTGTCCTTAGGAATCTCACAATCTAATAGATCTACAGCCCCCAATACCTGGGCCACAGACTGGTACTGGCTCATGTCCTGTTAGGGACTGGGTCACAGAGCTCTACTACCCAATCCCCCATCCATGGAAAAATTGTCTTCCATGAAATCAGTGCCTGGTGCCAAAAAGACTGGGGACCACTGTAATAAATAAAATGAACATGTAAACCCCTAATTAAATTAAGATTTAATTACCCAAATATTGATCTCTCTCCTTACTTAGCCACAGTTCAGAGTTACATTTCATTCTCCATCCCTGGGAGAGTGTGAACAGCTCTACCTTACAGGGTGAAACTCAATAAATAATGCCAGAATGAGCATTTGTTAATTTACAGTATGAAATATGACTTCCTAGAAGCCTAACATTATCTCCTTATAAATAATCGATATGGGAAACCAAACTATAATTAGATAGTTGCTTGCCAAACAGAATGAAAGTTACTAATCAGAGTCAGATGGGTGAAGGCATCAGACTCTACTAGTGTGAGACTCTACTACCTTCTTTAGGGTACGGATGAGCACAAATTTTGAGTCCTTGGACTTTGGAAACCTCTTCCCTAGACAGTCTTCCCTGGGTGGCCCCTGGTGAGGCACAGGCTCTGGGCCTCCTTGTCTGTGATTCCATTGTTGAGCAGTCCCCTTTCTGTTGGACTCATTCTTTCTTTCAAGATATGCAAATATTAATCATATTAAAGTTTAGGCTTGATAGCTGAGGGCCACTCTGTTAACCTGGATTGCCTCTGTTCTGACCCAGTGGAGCATCATTTTAGAGTTTAAACTCTCAGCAAGCTTTGATTTTTATTTTAAAATTTGGGGATGATATCTCACTAACAAGATTTAAAAGTAAAATATGAATCACAATAGTAGCCAACATTTGAGTGCCCTTTACATTCCAGGCACCAAGAAGAACACCCCCGACCCAGCAACTACCATGTTTCAGAGACACAAAGCAGCCCCAAGCACTCTGGCTCAGAGTTGGTGTGTGCAGGAGAAAGATGGGGGTAAAACTGGCGAGGCAGTCGGAGCCCAGCCTTAAAAAACCGTGAAGAGGAGATGAATATCTGAAGGCTTTTGAGCAAGAGAGTAAGATGATCAGATTTGCTTTTGAGAATGATGCTTCCAGTTGCCATGTGTAGGATTAAATTGAGAGCAATCCTAAAGACCAAGAAGCAATTGGAAGTGCTATTTCCATAATCTGAGGCTAAATAGAGCCTGAACCTTATAAGGTAGGATGGTGGGGATAGCAAGAAGGGAACAAAACCCAATGATTTTAAGCAGTTTCAATCCACAGAATTTAGTGACAAATTTGGGATATCAAGAGAGAACAGGACTTCTATGATCCCAGCCTGGGTATGCCAAGATATTGTTCAGTAGGAGAGGGAAGACAAAGAAAACACAGAAAAATCATCAGATTTGGGTTAAGATAAAAAGTAGCTCTCAATATGGTGAATGTGGTGAGTTGTGGGTGGGAAATGTCTAAGTAGAATGAACGTTTATTAGGCTGTTTCACAATAGATTCTGGAGGTTGGGAGAAAGACCAAGGTGGGAGAGAGCTGGGAGGCACCTCTATATAGATGGTTTCTATAAATCTTCCATTTGGCTGCAAGCAAAGCAAACCTTTCCATTTGGATGTAAGCAAAGCAAGGACAAAAGATGACTGTGGCTGAAACCACAGGAACCCCAAAATCTAAAACCCAAATATAGAGGATGAGAATCCAGTTACGATTACTAAAAAAGGGCCAGAAATAAAATAAAATAAGATAGAGACAAAGAATAAGTCTGGGCAGGAAATAATGAGAGCGTTCCCAGCTGACAGGAGTACCAGCAGTGTTGAATGCCACCAGATCACACTCAAGATTGAAAATGAATGTTAGTTTGGTAATTGGTGAGCTGAGATGTAATATCAGAGAGCACAGATTAAGCACAATGGTGGGGTGAAAACCATTTCAACGAGGAGTAATTTGGGATTGGAATAAAAAACAAATTGGAAACATTGCTGCCTTTCCAAGTATGGATACTTTACTATCTAAAAAAATATGATGGATATGGTGGGCAAATACTCTCCATGATGAGCCATTTTATCCTGTAGAGACTATCAAGGTATTAACTTTTTAAAAAACCCAAATAGATGTTTAAATGCCCCTTTTCCAGAAGCCCTTCAATTTTAAGGATTACCTTGACACCTCTCAGTTTTTAATTCTCCCAGACATAGACTGGACTTTGCTATTATCCAGAACCCTTGTCTCAAAATTTTTGAAATCAAGTATACTCTTTCTGATTATAATTTTCTATTATTCCAGCTCTTTCATTCCTTTATTTTTAACTAAATAACAATATCTAATATTTATTTATTTAGTAGGTACTTATTATGTACCAAGGCTTAGTGGATAGATTGATGTTATTTAATCCTCAAAACAATGTTTTGAGGCCATCTCTCTCAGTCTGGATTTAATTGCAGAAAACAGAAAAAAAAAACACCATTCTGGCTATTTTTATGCAGAAAAGGATTCAAAACAGGATATTAGGTACTTTACAAAATCTGGGAAAGTACTTGGTGAGTGGCATCCAGGCCCACAGCTCCACGCTGCAGAATTAGCTCCCCAGGAGAGCTTGCTGCCTCCACCAAGACACGCAAGAAAGAATGCACCCTGAACCACACCACCTGCAATTCAGAGACCAGGAGTTGCCACTTAGGCAACTCGAGTGCATCAATTCATGCCACATCAGGAAAAGCCACCCCAACAAAGAAATCGGAAGTCTCAGCTCCCACAAAGCTGGAGACTGGACCCTGGAACACAGCTGCAGAAACGACCACGTCTCCAGGGCAGTGCTTTCTAGCAGAAAAGGCAGGAAGATCCATGCTCGCCTTTCAGCAAAGCCAGCTGGAGACACTGAATCTTATCCAGAACCTTAGCTGTAGGCGACTCTGGAAAATGCAGGGTAGTTTGGTTGTTTTCTTCTTGTTTTTTTGTTTTTGTTTAGCTTGATAGCTTCTACAGGATAATAAGGCTCACCATGGATAGTTTCTGCCCACTATATCCATCATATTTTTCTATCTGAACTTTCTATCCACCCAATCCACTTTTCTATCTTAACTGGAATCAGCCCACCTGACACTTCTACTTCTCCTAATTATCCTTCCTACCCATCCTGGACTCATGTGCCCATCACTATAATCACTCCCTTCCCAATACCTCACCTCCATGTCCCTTTGTCCTTCCAGCACATTCACCCTGCAAAACCCCTGTCCTGATGGATCCCCTTTATCACTCCCTCCACGCCCACAACCAGGTGAGTGCAATAGGTGACAGGAGATAATCACAGGAATGGGTATCTTGGAGCACTAAAAATTCATGGCCTTTAGCTTAGAATACTCTTTGCCTCTCCTTCAATTCTCTCTCCCAACTATTCACCTACATCACTCTTTCAAATTTCCCCCATAACATCTCCTTACAATTAGCAGAGAAAACAGGGGCCATCAGACATGCATCCCCCACTTCCTCCTCTCCTTCTTTTCCCTCATCTTTTCAATTCTGCTTCATACACTCTTAAACGAGCCCCACCTCTTATCTGAATTTCTACACTAGCCCATATGACCAACATGCCACCACTCTCAAGCTCTTCCAATGTCTTCACTGCAGTGCCCACAGAAGGACTTTTCTCGAATGTCAGTTTGACAACATCATTCTCCTAGCAGTAGCATTCGCTGTTGAAGTACCGTAGGTGGGAAAGGGCTATGTTTCAATTCGCATACAAGGTCTCTAGCCCCCAGCGTCACCTAGCCCCACTGCTACACGTGCCCATAGCTCTCACCCAAACACAGTTTCTGTCTCACCTAATACCTCTGCACATGCTGATGTCCTCTAATTACCCACCTTCCTTCCTGCCCCACCTGCTTAATTGCTGTTCCTTCTCCAAGCACCACTCAACAGTCGTCGCCTGTTCCAGGAAGCATTTCCTCAAACACTCCCATGATCTGGCTTAATTTTCCTCTCTTTGTATTCACCTCAGGCTATAATAAAATTCTTAGTTGATTTGTCCACCTCCTCTGGTCAACTGTAACTTCTCTGAAGACAGGGACTCTCTTTCATTATTGCATCCTAATGCCAGACATGGCACCAGGAAGATAACAGGATCCAAGTACCTGGAGGATTGATCCCAACAAATGAAACCCAACAAGTGATACAAGGTCTGAGAACAAGCTAGTGGGAAAACCAAAGCCACAACTGGGGTCCCTGAATCTGAGCTGGGGGGACAGATCTCTCCTCCTCATACTGCTTGCCTCCCAGCCTCCTCCTGCCTTCTCAAGCCCAGGGGTTGTTTTTACAATAAAGGTGCCTGAGCCCCACCCATGGGTGATCTGCTTCAGTTAGTAGAGGGTGAGGCCCAACATGTGAGTTTTTAAAGGGTCCATAGGATAAAACTTGATGCCCACTCAGGATTGTTAATCACAGCTCTGAGTCCACCTCCAAGTTCTACAGAAATAGAAGTTAGAATGGCCAAGACAACATTTAGGAAAAAGAAAAATCAGAGGACTTATACAAAACTCACAAGACTTATCTAATGCCATAATAATTAACAAGGATAATGCAACGCTACAGAGAGTTTGATTTAAATCAGAGATGGCATCTAACGCAACGTGGAAAAGACAGGTAAACTATAAATCAGTGCAGAAAAAATTAAATTTGACCCTACCTAACACTATATCAATAGAAAAAGAAAAAAAAATTGCAACTTTGAGAAGATAATATAGAAAAATATCTTGTTACCCTTAGGATAGGAAAAGATTTTTAAACAAGTCACAGAAAGTACTAATCACAAAGGGAAAATTATTGCATTAAAATTAGGAAGTTTAAGACCCCATTATGAGAGTAAAAAGGCAAGCCACTGCCTAGAAAGACTTACTCGCAACACTTTTAACTATTACTGATATCTAGATATATAAAGCACTACTATAAATCAATAATAAATAGACAAAACAAGAGGCTACCAGACTAACCATGGGCCAAACCTGGCTCACTGCCTATTTTTGTAAGTAAAATGTTACTGGAACACAATCGCACCCATTCATTTCCATATTGTCTACAACTGCTTTTGCACTACCAAAACAGCTGAGTATTAAAACAGAGATTATCTGGCTTTCAATGCCTAAAAGATTTATGATTTGTCCCTTTATAGAAAAAGTTGGGGGACGCCTGGACAAAACAACCAAATAGAGAACTAGACCAGACACTTTCACAAGCACTCCACAGAAAACATCACACACAATGTACACACACACAACATACAATGGCCACTAGGCAAACTTAGAGGAGATCAACTTTATCATTCATCAGAAAAATTGTTAACTGAAGCCAAAATGAGACACAACTCATCATTCTAATGGCAAATATTACAAAGGCTAATAATACCATGTGTTGTCAGATACAGGTACAAAAATGTTATATACCTCTGCTGGAACTGTAAATTGGCACACCAGTTTGGAAAATGCTTTGCCATTTTCTACTAACTTTGAACATATTCCTACTGACCCAACTATTTCACTCTTACACAAAATGCTCCACAAAAAATTGCATTTATGAGTGAACCGAGCATATAAGAATATTTATATCAACTTTATTTCTAATAGTCAAAAATTGGAAATAACTTGAGTCTGATAATAACAATAATGATGAAATACTATACAGCAATGAAAAGGGATGAACTATAACCACCTGCAACAGCATAGGTGATTCTGATGGTTTGTTATTGAGCCAAGGAAGCTAGACACAAAATACCACATATATTATTCAAATTAAATAAAGTTGAAAAACTGGCAAATCTAATCTATGATAGTGTAAGTCGGGGGAATGGTTATATCTGGGGACCAGGGAGGCATCGTTTTTGCAAGAGGTGGGTCTTAAGAGGTGATAGTAATGTTTTCTTTCTTGATCTTCTTTTTTTGTATAGAGGAGTTCTTGCTATATTACCCAGGCTAGTCTTGAACTCCTGGACTCAAGCAATCCTCCCACCTTAGCCTCCCAAAGTGCTCGGATGACAGGCATGAGCCACTGCACTGATGCACTCTATATGTATGTTATACTTCAATGAAATGAGTTTTTTAAAATGCATGTCAAATTTGGTACCCAGGATACATAAATATATAAAATCTCCTCTAAGTCAGCAAGGAAATGGCAAAAAGAAATATGGAAAAAGATATGAGTAGGTAGTTCAGAAGAAGGCTCAAAAATGGATAATAAACATATTTAAAAAGTGGTAAATCTCACTAATAATTAAGAAAAAACAAAGTAAAACAATAATAAAGCACATTTTATACTACCAAATTTTAAAAACTCAAAGTCTTACAATACAATGTCTACAAAAGGCTTTAGGAAATCTATAATACTCCTGGTGAGAGTATAAACTAATAAAAACTTTTGTAAAGCAATCTGGCAACCTCAATAAAGTTGAATATTTTATTCATATCCATGCCCTACAAATTAGCAATTCTAGGGCTAATAGTCATGCACCCTAGAAAAACTCACACACTGGCAAATGTGCATTAAAAGACAGGTATGAGAACATTCATTTCCATATTCCTTGTGAAAGAGGAAAATGCAAGAACCTAAATGAACATGAAAGATATAATAGAGAGGATCAACAAAGCAAAAACTTTGCATTTTGAAAAGAGTAATAGCACTGACAAATTTCTGATGAAACTAATTAATACGTGTGTGTGTGTGTGTGTGTGTATGAGAGAGAAAGAGAAGGTGAGAGAGAGAGAGAGAGAAACAGAGAAAGAGAACAAATAATGACTAAAGGTGAAACTTGCCAGAGAAGCAGACATTAAAAGAGGTGAGATAGTAAACAGTTTGCCAGCATATATGAAACGTTTAATGAAATAGGCAATTTCCTAGAAAACAAAATCTTACCAAAACTCGCTTAAGAGAAAGTAAGAAATATGTATAATCCTATCACTATTAAGGACATTGACTCAATAGATGAAAATCTTTTCATAAAGAAAATTCGTGACCCAGATGGTTATGCCAGCAAGTGCTAATCAGCAGTTAGAGAAAACTAATTCCAATCTCAAATAACTAGCCTGTGATCCTCCACGCCAATGATCATGACTTCCATGTCAGCATATGCCAATGCAGTCAAAAAAGAGAACATTTGAAGGTGAAAACACATGTGCAGAAAGATGAACATAAGATCCTTTGTTTGTATAAGAAAGGAAAGGCTAGAATACACACACACACACACACACACACACACACACACACACACATATATATATATATATATATATATACACACACATATTTGCTTGCATAGCATTATGCCAGAATAATAGCAAGGAAATAATAATGGCAACCACATGTTGGGAAAGGTATGATGGACCCATGACAAATACTTAACAGGAACAAGAAAAACATTTTCTAGGGGGTGACATAATAATTTGTGATTATTAAACCGTATGTAGGTAGTACCCATTCAAACAAACAAATTAATTAATGGTAGGGAAAAAAAGAATAGCCAAGAATAGCCTAAAAACTAAGGACAACTGGAGGAGGTGGTAGATACAAATAATAAAATATTCTAAAGCTATAATAACCAAATATTTTGAAATAAATAATTAGCAGAATAACATTATCAATGGCTACTAGCTAACAAATCTATCTTAGGCACATAAATCTCTTTACCAATTCTGCCTTAAAAGATACAACTTCACCTAGAAAAAACAAGTGGGACCTAAAGAAAAAGAGGGAAAATATCAATAGGAGAATTTTTTTTTTTTTACCTTATACCATTTGATTGGATAAAAAACACAACTCTTCGGAAAGTTCAGATGACAGATAAGACTGTCATCATTTCCAACTTGTAGTGTTTGTTTGTACTCATCGGATAAATTCGGTAGACTGTGTCCGTAAGTGTCACTACACCAATACTTTTCATGCACAGTTAGGTTTATGTGTATTCTGTGACAGCTGTCTCTACCCCTGCAAGAAAGATTGAAACCTCATAAACTCTTAAAGAATCACAAAATCAATGATTCTGCTCATCTTCAAATCTTTTCAAATAATTTTGAAGGCACTATGCAAACCCTCTGTATCCAACAAAACAATATGCATCTCACAAATCATTTATTACAAAAGGACCAATGGTATTTACACAGCGGAGGGACTGGACAGCACCTTAGCCAGGTGATCAGAATGAACATCGCTGACCAGGGGCATGGATGCCGTGTGTCTCTGAGTGTTCCTCTGAGAAGGACACATGCACTTACCTAGCACTCCAGGCAAAAAAGGCACAGCCTGAACCCAGTCAGGAAGAAACACTTGGCAAACCCCGGTGCAGGAGGTAATATAAAATAATTGCCTATACTCCTTAAAAATGTCAGTGTCATGAAGAACAAAGACTGGGAAACTGTTCCAGATTAAAAGAGATTAAAGATTTATGGCAACCAAATGCAACACATGATCCTGGATTGGTCCCTCTACTGGAAAGGAATGAAAACAGTTATCAAGGTCCTGAAGGGGACAGTTGATAAGATTAGAATATAGACTATAGATTAAAGGTTTTATATGATGATTAAATTTTCTGAATTTGATAACTATACTGTGATTATTTAAGAAATATATAAATATACACAGAAAGGAAATAAGAAATATACATTGAAATATAAAGGGGTAAGAGAGTATGATGTATATAACTTCAATAGTTTAAAAAGTGGTTTAGGGCCGGGCGCGGTGGCTCACACCTGTAATCCTAGCACTCCGGGAGGCCGAGGCGGGCGGATGGCTCACGGGTCAGGAGTTCGAAACCAGCATGAGCAAGACCCCGTCTCTACTATAAATAGAAAGAAATTAATTGGCCAACTAATATATATAGTAAAAATTAGCCGGGCATGGTGGCGCATGCCTGTAGTCCCAGCTACTTGGGAGGCTGAGGCAGCAGGATTGCTTGAGCCTAGTAGATTGAGGTTGCTGTGAGCGAGGCTGATGCCACGGCACTCTAGCCTGGGCAACAAAGCGAGACTCTGTCTCACAAAAATAATAATAATAATAAAAAAAAGTGGTTTAGGAAAAAATATACATATATATATATATGGTGAGGAAGAAAATTGTAAGGTAAATGTGAGAAAATGTTCTTAAAAATGAAGAATCTACACAGGCAGCATAATCGCAAAGAACACAGATGCTGGAAGCTAACTACATTTTTTTTTTTTTGAGTCAGAGTCTCACTCTGTTGCCCAGGCTAAAGTGCCGTGGCATCAGCCTAGCTCACAGCAACCTCAAACTCCTGGGCTCAAGCAATCCTTCTGCCTCAGCCTCCCGAGTATCTGGGACTACAGGCATGTGCCACCATGCCCGGCTACTTTTTTCTATATATTTTTAGTTGGCCAATTAATTTCTTTCTATTTTTAGTAGAGACGGGGTCTCGCTCTTGCTCAAGCTGGTTTCGAACTCCTGACCTAGAGTGATCCTCCCATCTTGGCCTCCCAGAGTGCTAGGATTACAGGACTGAGCCACCTCGCCCAGCCGTTAACTATGTTTTGAATCCTGGTCTTGCCACTTATCAGCTGGGTGACTTTTGTCATGTTACTTAACCTCTCTGTGCCTCAGTTTCTTCATCTGTAAAATGCGGATATAATCAAACCTACGTTCTAGGGTATTAAGGATCAAATGTATCTGGCAGATAGCCTTGTAGTCTGTAAGGGTTTGTTAAATTCATTAATAAATAAATCCCTTGATAAAAGAAAAATGAAGAATCTAGACAAAAGGTAGACAGGAGCTCCTGATACTATTCTTGCAAATTTTATTTAAATTTGAAATTATTTCAAAGTAAAAATATACAGTTTACTGAATATGTATCATATCTGGATATTAACAATGTGGAAGAATTCACGTTCATTTTCTTCCATGACAGAAAATATCTTTAATTTCCATGAAAGATTATTTTTCCTCATTTCACAGCTCCCAGATTTAAATATTTTAAATCTAGCTCTGAAATCCAGATGAATTTGTGTGATATATGATTTTCATGTCTAGTTAATAATTCACATCCTAGGCTAAAACGGGAGAGCAGACTTCTACATCCCATCAACGGTGATCTCTTAGTGAGCAAAGCTGCAGAAAGGAGCCAGGCCAACGAGGCTAACGACCACTTCCACTGTGCGCCGCCCAGTAAGTAATTTTGTGCCATGAGTCTGTCAGGTGTACGGAAAGGAGGAAATGGGCTGTCCTGGGACACAGAAAGGGGCCAGAAAATCCTACCACAGGATCAAAACGAAACAGGGAGAGTGGAGTACCTACTTGACACATGATCTCAGTTCATTTCCACCCCAACCCTATCAGGCCAGTATAGTTTCCATTTTATAGACAAGAAAACCAAGGCTCAGAGAGATCAAATAAATTTGTTAAGGTTACAAAAGTTAGTATGGAAGCCACAAAACTGTGGCCCTTAGGCCAAATTTAGTCTACAGATGTGTTTTATTCAGGCCCTACAAAGCTTTACAAATTGAAGTTATACACACACATACACACACACACACACACACACAAACATTCTAATTTCCAGGTTCCCTGGAAAAATCAGAAGATGGTCTTGAGCTGCATAAACAGTTACCTTTGATGGGGCACATGCTTTTCAGCTGCCACCAATCCCACCAGGCCTGTGCTGCCCATTTATATTTCTTCCCAGCACATGGCGCTGGGTGGGGTTTGGAACATGTCCAATGCTTACCAACTGCTAAATCTTTGCTTTGCCTGGATTCCTTATGAAAAAGACTGAAAGGAGGTGTATTCCCTTCTGGATGTGCTACCTGTCACAAAAACTTCGGGCATTATGAGAAAGACGGCAGCAATGATGTAGGGACAGATATGCCTCGTGAGCCCAAGGCACTGTTTCAGTGGGAAAAGATGCATATCAGGTTCCAGAAATGATTTACAAATCTGTTTTAAAATGTATTCACTGAAAATCATCTTTTAGCAATTTAAAAGAATTTTCCTAAAAGAATTAACATATATATACATACAAGAGTATATATACACACACACACATATATATACATACAAGAATTCTATTTTGAGTTAGGAACTTACTTTATAACACATCGGTAGATTCCTGAGTCCCCCAAGGCAACGGGTAAAAACAAAATCCAAGTCTGCTCCTGGTGAATTCTAGACTTAATGTTTTTAGATATTAGGGTTTTGTTAGAATTATTATACCATGCTACATCGACTTCCCCTGATGTTATCGGAGGGTATGTACAATTAAAAGCAAAAGGCTGGCCCACTGAAGCCATCTCTTCTGGCTTATAAATGTCCTTGCACACATCTAGGGAAAGAAATGGAGAAACAAAAATAATTAATCATGAAAGAAAACTCTAGTTTTATTTATTAGTAGTTTTAACGAATGCCTTTCCAATTTTCTAGCCAATTTGAAATTTTATTTGGGGGTTTCCTTAGTCTGGGAGTTTCCTAAAAACGGCCTGCTGATTTGAAAGCATGAATACAATTCCAAGTTCTTCAAATGTATCCATAAGACGCAATTAACTCAGCTACCTCCTCACCAACCTCTTCCTTATTCGGAGTGATTTCCCTCTTTCCCTTCTCTTCCAAGACCTGTAATTCTTTCCTCCACCTCCTACAGAGAAAAAGAGCCCTCCTTGTCCTGTTCTCTTTCTGCTCTGCCACCCAGTTATTTGACATTGTCTTGAGTGAAAAGTATCTCATCTCAAAATGGATTGTTCAAAAACTGGTTCAACTTCTCAAATTCATTTAGACCGAGTCACTTAGTAGTGTTCAGAAGACATCTGTGCTGTTGACGGTTTCTTTGCTTTCACTCTGGTCATGAAATAATCCTTTGTCATATGAAATAGACAGCATCCCCATTTGAGCGTTTTCACTCAAGTGGACTTGTACATTTGCCTAATTCCTTCTCCTCTCCAAAGTCACCTCAAAGCTCAACGGTGACATTTGGGGTTGAGCATGAGAGCCCTCTGGAGAGGAAACCGGCTGTTTCCCATTCCGCGGAATTCCGCTTGGCCTCAGGGGGGAGAGTCCTCAGCCAGGCTCCGGTGCCAGGCGACCCCCCAGAGTCTGCATGGGGGTTCCCAGGGAGGGGCCTGGGACCCTAACCTAACCCGGGACGAGGTTTGGGCATCTGCAACCTGAGGACACACCGAACGTACCTGCTCTGACAAACACTGGAAGAGCGATGGACAGCCCGCAGAGCAGCAAGGACGGCATCCCCATCGCGGGCTACAGGAGGAAAGAAGAGACTGGCAGGGAGGGGACGCAGAGGAGGGGCGCACGGGGCGGGCGGGGCGCGCCCTCCCGCAGGCTCAGGGCGCCGGCTTCTGCAGCCCCTGGATCGCGGGGACGCCGGCCCAGGCCACTGACCGTCCCTTCTTCGCCGGGAGCCCTCGGTCTTGGGCCCCGCGTTTCCCCAAAGACTGGCCCCTTCCCCTGCCTGCGTCTTCATCTCAGCGAGCGACCCTTAGGGTCCAGGGCGGGGAGCGCAGACTCGCGCGGAGGAGGATCAGCCGGCAGCGGGTGGGCGGCAGCGGTGCGGACCAGGTGGCCTCTGCCTCAGCCACCTGGCAGCGGGGCACGGTCAGCGCGTCCCCACCGCAGCCCGCGGCCCCGGGTCCCCGCTAGTGCGGCGCCCGTCCCTCGCCTCAGATCCGCCTGCGCGGGGCGGTCTACACCGGAACCCCGAACACCGGCTCACCCGGGAGGAGCCGGCTCAGGCCTACCTGGCACGGGCGGGCGGGAAAGGGGGGAGGAGGACCGACAGCCGTCGCTCCCGCAGGGTCACCGGGCCAGCCGGCGGCCCGCCCGGGACTCCTCCTGCTCGCCGGCTTCCCGCTTAGGCGCACGCCGGCCACCTCTCTTCCTCCACACCTCTGCTCCCGTCGGGGCCCACCCACCCGCGCTGGGCTCAGCCGCGCATCCCGCCGGCCCGGTGTCTACCTGCCTGCGGGACTGGAGCGCGCAGGGTCTCGTGCAGAGCGGAAAGTCTGACAGGGACCCGAACCCTGTCGCGGCATTTCCAAGCCTCGGAATTTTCCCGCCACCGTGGGCGGGGCGGCCCTGCCTTCCCCCGTGGAGCATAGGAAGGAACTTCGCATCACACTAGGAAGTGGGTGGAAAGTCGTGTTGCCTACCTTTCTGGCAGCTAACAAGTCTCTCGCCGCCAGGAATGGCTTTGTAAGTCTATTCCAAATTGTCCCTATAAATGTCCCCCATAAATTCAGATTGTCCTTGTAAATTCATTCCGTTCCAGATCCCACTGGGGCGGTTTACTACATGCCCTGCGTTAGCCTGTGTGGATGGTGGCAGTGGAAGCCGTCCCAAATGGCTGCTGAGGAATATTATTAACCTGCTTGAGTCATGCTCATTAACTCTTGTAAGGCAGACATCCCAAGTGATCCTCAGCTACTTCAGAGTCTGTAGGTTGTTCCTGCCTAAAACTCCCCTGTAATGCAGTATCAACAGAGACCTGTCATCCTGCCCATCAGGAGACACCCAGAGTTATCTCACAAGGCACTGAGACATAGGAAAAGATATAGAATGTAATCCCCATTCAACACATTCTTTTTTTTTTCTTTTAAATATTATGAAGGCATCAACACATTCTTGGCCAAGCTATACCTGGTGGTCTTTGTGGGATTAAACACAGACAAAAACAACCACAGGAGTAGAGAGAGATGCAATAGCCCCCACAGCCTGTGAAATATGTAACACCCTGTCACTAAAGAAGCCTGAGGACTCTCATTCTCAGAACATGTTGATTTAAAAGGAAACCCAGTGAACCCTATGGAATGGTATCACTGCAGCCTTTCCCAGAAGTGGATGCATAAACCAGTAACACGAGGGATCACTTCCAGGTCAAAGGTTCCAAGAAAAACAAGCTTCATCAACTTCACTTTATGAGTAAATTAATCTCCCAACTGGTGGAAAACATGTTAGAGAAGTCAACAGGATCCTATGAGTTTAGATTCAGGTGATACAGGCTCAACTGGTCTAACAGCTGCAAATTTTAGAGACTACTTACTGTGCAAGGTTTAGGGTTCAGATTTAAGGTGAATGTACAGGATCTATGTACTTTAATCAGCCAACCTTCCTCAAAAGAAACCTGAGCAACCTGTGGTAAGATGAGCATGTTTTTCTTTTGAAAGGTTAATACTCATTTTAAATAGTATCATCTTTTTCCTGGAACTCTTCCTTTCCCTAAAAACTTACACACATGAGCACACTTTGGTTGCAAAATAAATGCTATTACACCAAAAAAATAAGTCCCTCTCAACTGTCTCCTCATGTGCATTTTTCATGTGTACTCTATTTTATGAATTCTTGCCACTGTAATGGCTCATTTGTGCTTTTTTTTTTTTTTAGCAAAAGAAGAACACGATTTTCTTTTCAATTTCCAGGATATAAATAAATTTTTGATGAACATCATTTTTAGTTAAAAATTCTTGTCTCGTCCAAATCTTGTCATTATGAACTGTTCCTCAACTATATTAAGTAATTATATTTTGAAGATTTGGACTTTAATAGCTTTTTTTGGGACTTTATTTTTCTTAGAACTGTTTATTATTACTTCATCACAGGTACAGCACTGTCAAAGAAAAATGTAAGCACTGTTTCCCACATCTTCTGAGAACTTCAATAGTGAGGAAGAAGGTGAAGTCAATACATGCAATATCTATTCTTCAGCCAAGGAAACAGCACTGGTGGGAACATTATTTCTCTCCTGTGGTGAAAATTGGATTATAAGTGTTAGGGAAGCAACGAAAGAATTCTGATGGCAAAATCTCTCTCTGCACTCACCACCAAAAGGCTTGCTAAGGAATCTTAACTGCATCATCCCCAGTTTGAGGAGGTGGAATGCCATATCTGTTGTCTCTGTGTTTTTATTTTTTCCTCAATGATCTTAATTTTCATTACAACGATAGTATATTCGTTGTCTAAAAAAAAAAAAAAAAAAAAAAAGAACGACTTTCCCCCATTCAAGACCCCCCATTCTCTTCTCTACCTGCTACCCACCCCTGCCCCCTGCCCCCTGCCCCCAGGGGAACCTCTACACTAAGCTAACCTCTCCATACTTCCAGAGTCTCACCTCAAAGGTGAAAAGATTTTCTTTTGACAAATTAGCTGGAGGAAATCTCTGATCTTATAATTGTATGATATTGACTTCCTAAAATCGGATTAAGTAGCAGCTATTACCATTTTAAAAAGTTAACACCAAGATTATATCCCCTCCTTCTCCCTTCCAACCCAAAACTTCAGAATTTGAAAAGGTTTCATTTTGGATAAATACATTTTTTATTTTACCTGTACTGATCAAGTGGTAAAATTAAGAAAATATGTTTTGGGATTCTATCCCCTGTACTGGACAGAGGCTTTCCCCATATGAACACCTTGTAACATAGAAAGTCCTATTTTACAGATGAGAAAACTGGGATTTAACACAACCAGGTGCTATGCTCTAGTTTCAAAACTATGACAGTGTGGAATTAATCCCCAGGTCTTTCCCCACCAGATGACATTCCTAATATGAAATTATTCTAGAGGCTCCGCCCAAACCTACTGTGTATTTACTTGGGAAAAGTTATCTGATAGAGAGAAGGAAAAAAATATGACCTTTAAATGGGGGTTAGCACTGATTTTTTTAATGGCTAGCTAAAACACACATTATTAACTGGTAACATAACCAAAACACAGTGAAAGGCTCTCTGATTTCTTCCAGTGAGAAATTCTGTCAAGTTTTCTGGATAGCTGATTCTTAAACTTGTATAAGTTCTTACATTTTAAAATTGTATTGAGGGATTTATTTAAAAATATATGAACAGGTAAAGCAATAATAAGCTAATAAACAGTTAATAATATGACACATTTTAATCCATTTGAGAAGCTAGTAAACAGGTGGAGTCCAGTTGAGGCTACACCAGGGGAGTTAGGGCTCATTGTTTGGACAGTGGCTTTCGACCTTCACCCTCCTTCTCCCCCCACCCCAACAAAAAACTTTCTGCATAAGGAGTTCACCTCCTTCAGGCCTCAGAATGTACAGGTAAGCCATGGCCAGGGCAGGCCAACGAAGAGATTTTCAATAATAACATTCAATGCAAAGTTTGACAGTTTTATTGGAAAACAAGTACAGTCTATTGATCAATGATGTATGCTGTACATGAATCTGGTGTTTTAATATATAAAAAACATTCGGCAACTGCCACAGAATTATACAAACAAATTAAAAAAAAAAAAAAAACCTTCATTGTTAACCAGTACAAACATCATTTATCAAAAATGTTATTTAAAAAAATGGCTCAATACCTTTTCTTTTATTGCAAATAAAATAAAAAGAAAGGCAGGAATGGGGAAGTATAAATTCTGCTAAGCCAGTTTTAACAACTGGCAATTAAATACTTCGCTGCATTTGCAAACTCTTCTTCAATACTCAGGCTGACTAAAAAAAAAAAACAACAACAAACCATCAGAAAGTGCAATAAAATCTTACCAATGGGGAAGGCATTTTAAAAGGTTTTTTTGGTGTGGAGGGAAAGACATAAGTCAAAGGAAGTCTATAGGAAACTAGGAATGTGGCTCCCCCGCACCCCAGCGACAATGCAGACCTTGGAAGTTATGGGATTGACATTGCACTTTTCTGCTCCTGATACCCCTTCACCGAGGCTTATCTGTTGATTCCTGCTCCTCCTTAAATTCTTGGTTGTCAACCTCTCTCCACTTTCTGGCCAATTTTTTGCGATAATTCTAAGTTTCAAAATTGGCTTGCTTTCTTGGCACTGTGCATGCTGATATATTTTCTAGATGACAGACTAAAATTATCAACAAAATTAGCAATTTAAAGCACCCAATAGACCTTTCAGGATGTGACACCCCCACCTCACCCCCATGGACTTCTGGCTGCCATCTATGTATGTTGCCAAATTAAAAGGAGGCCCTCTCTTTCAGAATGGCGGCTCTACACGGCACTGTCACTCAATGCCCGGGAGACAGTACATGGAAAGGGAAGAGTCAGTATTAAATTCTGTGCATTGGTGTCTAGCTCTGACAACTTTGGGGGAAAAATATTATTCCAAATAAAAATGTGTGCCCACTCATAATGTTAGATATTAAAAATATAAAAACCAGGAGGCCTGTCCATGTTCATACAATTTTTAAAACTGTTCATTTGTCCTGCACAAGAGGCACATAAACTAAGCTTTGTAGTTTTCCGGGGTTTCTCTAATCATGCTGAAGACTCCCATCAAATTTTTTAAAGAAAATTTGTGTACCAAAAAAACGCAATTCTCTTTCATTTTTAGTTGACTGAGAAATATTTAACTTTAGAGGAAGAATATGTGAAGGTAGAAAAGTTTTCCATAAAATCTAAACATCACTCCTGTAAATTCCAACACTGAAAAGTTTAGAATTGGCTTTCTTAAACAAAAGCATTCCTAGACTAAGTTGCCTCCCAGAAAACTGTCATTTCTTCTCACAAAAGTGCCGGGGTGGGTGGGAGCGAGGAGGAGAGTAATTGACCTGATGTCAAGTATTCAGAGCACTGCACTAGAAACCAGAAATGGAAGTTCAAGTCCTCGGTCCAGTAGAACTTAAGAGTGTGATTTTTTAAAAAATAGGTCACTTCCTCTCTGTAGAAAATTAGAATAATTGCAAAAATTAAACAAGATAATCTGATAACATTTTTAAACAATAAAGCACTATACAAATCTGTGTCATATGTGCAAAGTACTCGTGGAAGGCAGAGAGGGACAGGGAGATGCAGCCACAGCCTTCCACTCCAAGAGCACAGACTCTGATGGGGAGAGGACAACCCTCCCCTAGAGTGGTCACCGGCAGTCAGTGCCATTGACCCATGGGGCAGAGAGAGGGTCTGAGAGTAAGCTCTTAGGCAAAGTCTCTCGGGGACTATGAACTTGGGGTAAATGCTGAATGTCAGTCGAGTTCTGGTCAGCTGGAGAAAATTTAAGAAGGCACTCTAGTCGGAGGAGGCAGGGGTGGGGCAAGGATTGAAGAGTGGGTCAGGTGCCCAGACCTCGAGGCTGACCCAGGAGTTCACGCAGCAGGACCGGTGAGGGAAGGCTGGGGACAGTTCAGAGAGCATGGAGTGGGATGACAAGCTGGCAGGAGACCTGGGGCTTTAGCTCCTGAACTGGAGGAGCCCCTTAGAGGCGTTCCAGCAGGAGCAGGGTGAGAGGAGGGCAGCATCTTAGAAAGGACGGGTCGTCTATGGGCTGTGCATGGGACAGCACGAGGAGGAGGCCACTGGGAAGCTGTCCTTCCAAAGAAGCAACAAGCCCAGTGCAGAAGAATAAGGAAGAACTGGATGGCCATGCCAGAGAGGAAAACATTCAGAGGTCGATCAATCCCTGCTCCTGTTGCTTTTTCAAATTCTCTCTCTCCTGTGGAAAGCTAAGATGATTTTTCAAAACCTTGGAATCCTGGAGAATCCCTTTGTTCATTGAAATGACAGTTTTCAAGGTCTATAAAGTAAATTTCAATCTTTGGAAATTGCAGGCGGTGGATGTGTATGGAAAATGCAACCAAATGGAAAGTTCTCCAAGAATACATCTATCTTTCTTTGTGAGATGTCAGTCTCACTTCACCTGCAGCCCAACCTTACAGAGTCCCCAGACAGGGCCACAGCCCTGCCTTTGGGCTGTGGGCCACTTCACAAAACCATCTATGGATGGTGACCATTTCCTGCATGTTGTTTCCTCTAGTTTGCTGTCTCTGTGCCTTTCCTCAGCAGTTAAACATTCAGAGAGGGCATTTGTTGCCTTTCTTAAGGACTTCCCAAGTCCTCTTCTCTGAAGTACCCTGGCCTGCTATTGTCACCATGTCCTTCTCCCTGAACAATCTGATTCCAGGTGACCCCAGGGATAACGGACTATACAGGTACATTGTACAACTGCACCAATGAGCAGGAGGCACAGCCCAGCCTGTGATACAATGAAACAGGACCACCCACAGAGCTCTTGGCAGGCTTCTCCACACTACCCAAGAGGCAGGTGAACCTCTCTCTGCAGCTTCTCCATAGAGTTCGGCCTAGTGGCCAGAGGCAGTAACTGGTGTTTGGCTGAAGACAACCGGTGCTGGGCCGGCATGTGGTACCTGACTTTCTTCCAGAACCTTGTCTTTGCAGACTGTGGTCCTTCTGTCAAGTCCCCTGACCAGCGGATGACTCCATGCTTCCGCTTAATGAATTTAATGGATTCTGGCATCTTCTCATAGTCTTGGATTTTCTCCAGCTCCAGCAGGACAACTTTAATTCCATCCTGAATAAGAGCATTGTACATCGCTATTTGCTCTTCAGATGAACTATTCAGCCAGCCAAAGCTTGATGTTTCTCTGACTAAAATAATAATCAGTCTTCTGCTTTTCTTTATGTTTTCATTAATAACCTCCACAATGTCTGAAAAACATGAAGCAAATCATAGTAAGTAAAATATCAATTTATAATCATTCTCTCGAGAACCAAAACCTCACAAGGTTCTTCTAATCTGTCCCCTAATGCTTCCTTTTTGCCTTGCGCTTAAGATTAAAGGAGTTTCCCATTTTATAGAACAACTCAAAAGCAGGCCCTCAAAAACTGAAAATTTAATTTAAAACTCATAAAACTTCCGGTTAGAATTTGAAAAACTTCTTGTTAAATCATTTGATCTACATTATTCCTATTTTATTATATCAGTTGTAAAGTACTAACTAGCCATTAAGTTTCTCAAAACTAAGTAAAAATCACTTAATTATTGCTCCAACAAAATATGAGAGAAGTGAATACTTTCCATTTAATAAATGTGAAAATTGCCATCAAATAGCACTGAAAAGGTTTTTAAATTGTCAAATATGTGCACCTATGCCATAGCCTTCTAGAAAAATGAAACCCCAATGTTAGCAATTAGTTTTGTAACTATAAGCCTTTACTTTGTTCCATTACATACATACCTTCCCCAACATAGTCATCTCTTCCATGAATGAACAGCTTATAGCCACACTGTTTTTCCAAGACCTCAGGCAAGACTTTAAACACAAAAATATCTGAGTTAGAGGTGGACCCTTCCCCAAGGGTCTTTGGATACAGTATATATGCATCATAGGTCTTCCCATCTGAAGCTAAAGGAAAAATGTAATGTATTTAGAACCAAAAGGAAAAATAAAATATCACAAACATGCATTTCATAATGCATTATTAATCTTTTTTGGTACAACAGCATGATCGAAGCAGCATTACCAAAAGTAGTCCACCTTTTAAAAGTGTTCATCTCTTCCAAGGTTACTTATATATCACGCTCTGTTACAACATTGTTCTTATATGGTATGGTTTGGCCACCTCTCACACTCTCAGGATGGAATGATCCTTTTCTCCTTGTTCTCATTTTCTTCCCCAAATGTCTCAGCCCTGAATTCTATCCATTCTTCCTTTTATACATTATTGTGATATTAGTTTTTTTGCAAAACTTAAGCAAAAGAGAAAGAGAGAGCCTCCCTGATGCATGAAAATCTAGTCATTTAGTTAAAGGCAGATCAGAGAGTGATCTATGTCCATCCTACTCAGCACAGAGCAAGTCCTCAACAATGGCTTCTGAATAACTGAATGTAAACAGATACTCTAAACCTCTGTTTATCTTACCAGTATGAATGAAAAAGAAGAAATTTAGAAAATAATGATATTCAGCCTAGTCAGTTATGAAACAATAATTATGTGTAAGAATAGCTGCTATTCTTGTATATGCCACCTTTCATTTTAAAATTTGAGTAAAAACCCCTTTAGTCATCTTCTACATCTAACTATCTCTTCCCCTCAACAAGAAAATATTGCATAGAACACAAAATTATACCTTTTTTGGGGAGAAAATCATAGCAGGAATCCCTGTACCAAAGCACAATGTCAATCTTGAAGATTTTATAGATGAAAACGGAGCACGTAATTATAACTGTTAACATAACAAATACCCCAATCACGTGCTTCTGGAAATCAGGGACTATATCAGAAAAGAGGAAAAAAACATTAGAACCAAAAAGAATTAAAAATGCAAGCATAGCAAATTGAACATTTTCATCCCAGAAAAACCATATTTGGGATTGGTCTACATTCAGACAGTATTAACTCATTCCTTATTCTCATTTAACAATCTAATGTACTAATGTACAAAGCAATCTAGTATGGACCACATAAAACTAAGGTACATTCCAATAAGTTTCCAGCTAAATAGTATAATACACAATAACACAGAAAAAATACTGAAGACATAAGATAGGGCATTCACAGTAAAACAAGTAAAAGTCAAAAATCACTCAAAAACTTACACGAGCTCCCTGAGGTAGGAGAGTCAATTAGGAAAAGCCAAAAGCTGAGGTGCAGATCCGAATCAAGATGGCGGAGGAGAAACACCGCCAGACAGAGTGTCTCTGCAGAAAAGACAGATTCTAGCAGAAATTAGAAGAAAGAAGCAAGAAGACGAGCATACATTGGATGAGGGTCGAAAGGAGGGGTACCTGAGACCACGGGAGACTCCACGGGAGGAGGTTGCAGAGGAGAACTGGAAGCAGAGACCTCCGGAGCAGCCTGGAGACCAGCGGCAAGGGTAGGTAGAGCGATTAACTCTCCCCTCCCTTGCATCTCGGACTGCTGGTGGGCTCCCCAGCGGGTGGAAAGACCTGCGGACACCAGCCCAGAGACGGCCACCGCCAGTGAGCGGTAAGCCTGTAGCGGAGCGGCACCAGGCTCCCAACTCCCGCAGAGCACTTCCCGGTGCACAGACCCAAGGCCTGCGGCAGGCGCCATATTGCCTCATTCTCCCCTCCCCCGACCCTATCCACAGCTGCCAAGAGAGACAATATAGCCACCAGCCGGAGGCAACTCCAAGGAATGGGACCTTCCCTTTTGGGGCCCTACAGCTGACTGAAGGGAACTCAGATGGTGAGCTCCCTACCTGACAGCCCTCCCAGGAGCTGCTGGCCCAGTGATCCCAGGAGAATGGGGCAGACCCTGAGGCTGAGAGACATAGACCCAGCTTGGGCTCCCAGTGGGTGAATTGAGATTGGCACTCCTCTCCCTGGTGGGGATATAGTTTGAACTCTGGGACCTAGAGGTCAGACCTGCAGACCAGATCCCATGCACCCAGGTCTCGCATTGCCCAGGACACAGAAGGGTTATATGCGAACAGCCTACTGAGGTGTGTGTGCCTTCAGAGGCAGATCAGCATCCTAGAGGGCAACTCTCCACCCAAAGGGAGGCCGTGAGCCCAGCCCAGGTGGCTTTCCTGCGCAGGGAACCTCCCGGCCGGCATCATAGCCAGGGGAGGCCTGGTGGCGTGAGGTTTGGCCTGCTGGCAAAGACCCAGGAATTGTTGCAGATTTGGAGAGGGTGGAAAGAAGCAAGGCCCGCTCCAGACTCCAGGTCTCAGACAGCCCCACCCCACACGCAGACTTTCTGACTGAGCCAGGCCATTCCAGCCCTTCCTTGGCAGCTTTTCCAGAAGCAGAAAACAGAACTTTGACCCCTGCTAACGGCACTGGTGGTGCCTGAGGGCAGGCTTACCCAACCCAGCTCTGCCCAGACTCACTCCCAGACCAGCCCTCACTGAGAGGGAGAAAAGGACACACCTCGAAGTCCCAGGGCCCCACCGACCACCTGAGGCACTAGAGTGCCTCTCTAGAGGAACAAGAGCTGATAACAGGACAAAAAACAACAGCGTAGCCTAATCCTCCAAGCAAGCACCACCTACTGACAAGGAGGACACCTCCCACACCCTCTTCACTACACCTACTGACTCATTATACAGGGAGTGGTCAAATCTCACCCACAGACACCACCTACTGGCTTAGAAACTAAACAAGGCATGTAAATACCCAAACGAAAACTGATCGACATGGGAAGAAATCAGAGAAGGAACACCGGACATATGAAGAACCAAACGGAAACCACACCCCCAAAGAGGAGCACCAGCCCTTTGGAAATGGACACCAACCAAAATCAGGCAACCAAAATGACAGAAGAGGAATTCTGAATGTGGATCATAAGAAAATTCAACGACCTGCAAGCACAACTCAATAACCAACACAAAGAAACCACAAAAAGCCTCCAGGACCTGGAATAAAAGTTCACTAAAGAAATAGACACAATGAAAGAAAAGTTTAACTGAACTCCTGGAAATGAAGAATCAATTCAGGGAACTTCAAAATTCAGTGGAAATCCTCAAGAATAGGGTAGATCAAACAGAAGAAAGAATCTCAGAGATTGAAGATAACACCTTCCAATTAAATAAATCAGTCACAGAGATAGAGCAGAGAAACAAGAGAAAAGAGCAAAGCCTACAAGACATGTGGGATTATGTGAAGAAACCTAGTGTGAGGGTCATAGGGTTGCCAGAAGGGGAAGAAGACAACACTAAAGGGTTGAACAAGTTATTTAAAGATATAATAGAGGAAAATTTCCCAGGCCTTGCTCAAAATCTTGATATACAAGTTCAAGAAGCTCAGAGGACCCCTGGGAGATTCAATGCAAACAAGAAGACGTCACGACATACAGTCATCAGATTGACCAAAATATCAACTAAAAAGGCCCTTCTAAGAGCTGTAAGATGAAAGAAGCAAGTAACATAAAAGGGAAGCCAATTCGAATAACACCAGACTTCTCTACTGAACTTTAAAAGCAAGGGAGAACTGCACATTCTCACTCTTCTGAAAAGAGAACAATGCCCAGCCTAGAATCTTATTCCCTGCAAAACTAATTTTGTATATGAAGGAGAAATCAAGACATTCTCAGATAAGCAAAGACTGAGGGAATTCCCAAGACAAGACCAGCCTTCAGAGTATCAAAACAGTGTTACCCATGGATTAGCACAATAAACACTCATGAATGTAAATCTACTCAAAGCTAAAGATCAAAGCCCAGACACTATAATGGCTCAAGAGAGAAAACAAAGCAACAAAGTTCAACCAACATAATGAACAGAATCTGCCCAACCTATCGTTATCTCAATAAATGTGAAGGCTTGAACTCTCCACTCAAGAGGACATAGGCTGGCCAATGGATTAAAAAAAACACAAGCCATGTATCTGCTGTCTTCAGGAAACACATCTAACCTGCAAGGATGCAATTAGAACTAAAGGTATAGGGGTGGAGAACGATATTTCAAGCAAATGGAAGCCAAAGAGAGCTGCATGTGGTGCTGATTACAGATAATTTAGTCTTTAAATCAACAAAGTAATAAAAGACAAAGAAGTCACATATAATGGTGAAGGGTACAGTTCACAAGAAGACATAACAATCTTTAAATATACTACACACCAAACCTTGGTGCACCCAGATTCATAAATCAACTCTACTTGATCTAAACAAATGATAAACAACAACCCATAAATAGTTAGGAGATCTTAACACCCCACTGACACCACAGAACAGATCATCCAAGAGAAACAACAAAGAAATAATGGACTTAAACAACCTAGAAAAATGGGCCTTACTGACATCTATAGGACATTCTACCCCAAACCAGTTGAATATACATTCTTCTCATCAGCTCGTGGGTCATTCTCCCAAGATTGACTATATCCTAGGACACAAGCACAACTCAACAATTTTAAAAATAGAAATTACACGTACTTTTCAGAGCCACAATGGAATAAATGTAGAAATCAATCCTAACAGGAGTCCTCATTTCTACACAAAGTCCTGGAAACTAAACAACCTTCTGCTGAATGATCACTTCATAAACGAGGAAATCAAGATGGAAATCAAAAGATTCTTTGAACTAAATGACAAAGGTGACACAAGTTAACAAAACCTGTGGGACACAGCTAAAGCAGTCCTGAGAGGAAAGTTTATTTCCATAAATGCCTATATCCAAAAGTCGAAAAGATCACAATTAGACAACCTAATGAATCATCTCAAAGAGCTGGAAAAAGAAGAACAGACCAACCCCAAACCCAGCAGAAGAAGTCAAATCATTAAGATCAAAGCAGAACTAAATGAAATTGACAACAGGGAAACTATACAGAAGATTAATAAAACAAAAGTTTGGTTCTTTGAAAAAACAAACAAAATTGACACACCATTGGCTAGACTAATGAAAAGCAGAAAAGAAAAATCTCTAATAAGCTCCATCAGGAAAATAAAGGAGAAATTACAACTGATGCCACAGAGATCCAAGATCTAATATATGAATATACAAAAACATCTATGGCACACGAACTGGAAATGTGGAGGAAATGGACACATTTCTTAGAAATACACAGCCTCCCCTAGGCTCAACCAGGAAGAAATAGAACTCCTGAACAGACCAATCAAGTGCTGAAATTGAAACCACAATAAAAAACTCCTAACAAAGAAAAGTCCTGGACCAGATAGTTTCAACCTGAATTTTACCACACCTAACAAAGAAGAACTGGTGCCTACCTGCAGAAATTATTCCACAAACATCGAGAAGGATTGAACCTCCTACACATTTATGAAGCAAACATAACCCTGATACCAAAACCAGAAGGATGCAACAAAAAGAAACTACAGACAATATCACTTCATGAATAGATGCAAAAATTCTCAACAAATCCTAGCCAACTGGAACCAGCAGTGTTCTCGTCAAGAAATAATTCATACAACCCAAGGTGGGTTCATCCCAGGATCAGTGAGATGGTTCAACATAGCGCAAATCATAAATGTAATTCACCATTTAACAGGGAACAAAAACAAAGACCTACCAATGTCTCATACCAAAGTGCAGAAAAGCATTTGACAAAATCAACCCCCCTTTTATGATAAACGTTCAACATAAGTAGCATTAGATGGGCTACTAAAATGATACAAGCCATAAACAACCCGCCAATATCATACTGAATGGAAAAATTGAAAGCATTCCCACTTAGAAACTAACAGGACAAGGTGCCCACTATCCACTTTGTTCAACATAGTGCTGGAAGTCCTCACTACACGAGTCACACAAGAGCAGAATTAAGGGCGTCCAATTGGGAGCAGAAGATATCAAACTCTCACTCTTCGCTGATGACATGATATTATACCTAGAAAACCCCAACGATTCAACCAAGAGACTCCTTGATTTGATAAATGAATTTGGTAAGTCTCAGGATACAAAATCACACACGAAAATCAGAGGCATTCATATATTACCAACACGAGTAAAAGTGAGAACCAAATCAAAGACTCATTCCCTTCAAAAATAGCAACAAAGAAAATAAGTACCTTTGAATATATTAACTAAGGAGTTAAAAGATTGCTCTACAGGGAGAACTATGAAATACTGAAGAAGGAAATAGCAGAGACGGTAAACAGATGGAAGAATATACCATGCTCATGGGTTGGCAGAATCAATATGTTAAAATGTTTAACTACCCAAAAGTGACCTACAGAGTCAATTGCACTCCCCTATAAAAATACCATCATCATTTTTCCACCGACATAGAAAAAATAATTATTATGCTTCGTATGAAACCAGAGAAGACCCCGTATACAAAATCAATCCTAGGCAACAAAACAAAATAGGAGGTATCAAATTTACCAGACTTCAAACAATACCACAAGGCTATAATCATTAAAACAGCTTTTTACTGGCACAAGAACAGGGACATTGACCAGTGGAACAGAACAGAGAGCCCAGATATAAAACCATCCTCATATAGCCAACTAATCTTCAACAAAGCTGACAAAAACATACACTGGGGAAAAGAATCCTTATTCAATAAATGTGCTGGGAAAAACTGGATAGCCACATGTAGAAGGACTGAAACAAGACCCAGACCTTTCACCTCTCACAAAAATCAACTCACCTGGTAACAGACTTGAACCTTAGGTGTGAAACATATTAGAATTTCTAGAGGAAAATTGTTGGAAATACTCTTCTAGACATTGGCCTAGGCAAAGAATTTATGAAGAAGACCCAAAGGCAATCACACAGCAACAAAAATAAACAAATGGGACCTAATTAAATTAAAAAGCTTCTGCACAGCCAAAGAAACTGTCAAGGAGAGCAAACAGACAACCCACAGAATGGGAGAAAATTTTTGCAAGCTACACATCTGATAAAGGGCTGATAACTAGAATCTATTTAGAACTCAGGAAAATCAGCAAGAAAAAATCAACAACCCTATCAAAAAATGGGCAAAGGACATGAACAGAAATTTCTCAAAAGAAGACGTAATAATGGCCAACAAGCATATGAAAAAATGTTCAACATCTCTAATCATCAGGGAAATGCAAATAATCAAAACCACAATGCGATATCACTTAACTCCAGTGAGAATGGCCTTTATCAAAAAGTCCCCAATCAACAAATGCTGGCATGGATGTGGAGAGAGAGGAACACTCCTACACTGCTGGTGGGACTGCAAACTAGTTCAACCTCTGTGGAAAGCAATATGGAGATACCTCAAAGCGATACAGTAGATCTACCATTTGATCCAGCAATTCCACTACTGAGCATCTACCCAAAAGATCAAAAGTCACTTTATAAAAAGAACCTGCACTCGAATGGTTTATAGCAGCACAATTCACAATTGCAAAGCTATGGAAACAACCCAAGTTGCCATCAATTCATGACTGGATTAATAAAATGTGGTATATGTATACCATTGAGTACTACTCAGCTTTAGAAACAACGTGATATAGCACCTCTTGTATATTCCTGGATAGAGCTGGAACCCATTCTACTAAGTGAAGTATCTCAAGAATGGAAAAACCAGCACCACATGTACTCACCAGCAAATTGGTATTAACAGATCAACACCTAAGTTGACATATAGGTTTTTTTTTTTCGGAGTAACATTTATCAGGTGTCAGGAGGGTTGGAGGAGGGAGGAGGGGATGGGTGTATACAACCACAGTGAGTAAGATGTGCAACATTTAGGGGATGGACATGCTTGAAGCTCTTACTCAAGGGGGGAGGGGAGCATGGGCAATATAAGTAACCTTAACGCTTGTACCCCCATAATACGCTAAAATAAAAAAAATAAAATAAAAAAATAAACACAAAAGCTGGGATGAAGGGAAAAGGGTGTGTTGGGGTGTGGATTTAGGGAAGGTTTCACAATTCCACTCTCTCCTGGTCTCTCTCTAATTATTCATCCAATGATTACAGTGGAGGAGGGGTAGCGAGAAGAGGGGAGGGCAAGGCGGGGAGGGGCTAGATAGAGAAGAATTAGAAGAAGGAACAAGTAGAAAGTGGCTTCTAAATGTCAGAGACCATGCAGGCACCCAGAGAAGAGAATCTAGCAGCTTTATTATTTTACTTTTCCACTTTAGATCTTCAATCCACCTGGAACTGATTTGGGTACAGAGTAGAAATCAAGATATACCATTTTCCAGACAAATATCCAACTGGCCCAATCAATAGTTCTCATTTACAGTCTTAATTACTGTAGCTTCATGTAAGATCATGATGTCTGTCATGTAAATCTTCAAGATTTAGTGTTCCTGTTTAAGACCACCTTGACTATTCTTGGTCCTTACACTTCCACATGACTCTTAGAATAAACCTGTCCATTTACACATGCCCACAACACCCCCCCACACACACACACACACACTTGCACCAAAACTGCTGAGATTTTGATTGGAATTGTTTTGAATCTATAGACCTATAGATTCATTTGGGGAGAATCGACGTCTTTATAATATTGAGTCTTTGAATCTATGAACATTGTATATCACTCCGTCTATTTAGTTCTTCCCTAATTTATCTCAACAACTTTTTTCTAGTTTGTATTGCTTAGGTCTTGAACAGCTTTTGTGAGATTTATTCTTAGGTATTTGATAACTTTTGATGTTATTATAAATGTTATCTTTTATTAATAAATGCAATTTCTATTTGTATGCTATTTGTATTTAGACATACATGAAATTATAAGTGTACTCTGTGTGTGGGTGTATGTATACAGCAAGATTACTCTAGTGAGCTTGCTAAACTCATTTATTCATTCTAATAGTTTGTAGGTTCTTTTAGATATTCCTCCATGTATACACTTACAATACCCTATTTTAATTAAAGCACAAATTATCTTCAAGTATTTCACAGATGTTTTCAATATTATGTTTGATTATTCCAAGTGATGACAACAGTGGTTATTTAGGCTTCCCCTAAGCATTGATCATGTAATCATTACTTAAAACTATTCATTAGGTACTGACAAAGTACCAGACTTAAGTTGCCACCAGCTCTGGAAATAAGATAATTAGTAAGATAAATGGTCAGCACCATCAGAGAATTTACAGTCAAGTAAAGAAAACTACTGTGTTTCCCCGAAAATAAGACAGGGTCTTATTTTTATTTTTTTTCCTCAAGAAGACACCCTAGGGCTTCTTTTCAGGGGATGTGTTATTTTTTTTAAGTATGGTACAACAATCTACATTTGTTCAAATATAGTTAAGTCTTCTTCTGGAACATCATCATAACTCTCCAAACCCTGAATTCCATCCTGAATATCTTGCAACTCTATTTCCTTGAGAACTGCTCGTCTTCTTTATCGCTCTGTGACGAAATGCATGGGTTGTGCAGATATGCTGCTGTGTAGCCACACCCATCACTAGGTCTTATTTTCGGGGTAGGGCTTAATGTTGCACAAATGCTTAGAAATCCTGCTAGGGCTTATTTTATGGGTAGGTCTTATTTTTGAGGAATCATGGTAAGTATAATAGATCTCGTAAGTGGACTTACGGTGCTGTGTAAACACATAACAGAGAACCTAACCTGGTCTGTTTGGACAAAGAGCTAAGTTAAGGGCAGGCAGGACAGAAAAGCTTTTCAGAAGAGATAGTTCAGCTGAAGAGTGAAAGAAGAACAAAAGTTACCCAGATGAAGAAGTGAAGAGTGTTCCAGAGAGAGGAAATAGCATTGCAAACCTTATGGAAACTCACTACAATAAAATAAAATTGCATTTCAAATAGTTTGTTGTTTACCTGGATGTATTAATTGGATATATGCTTCAGTTGTGCCATATGTATTCTTGGCAACACAGGTAAATGGACGGAGATAAAATCTACTTTCAACTTCTGAAATATTAAGCACTGTGATGAGTATATTCCTTTTTTTGTCTAAAGAATTTTCTGGACTGTTCAAAAAAGAAAGAATAAGTTAATTGCATCAACTACAAATAAGACATATATAGCTGACATACTTCCTTATTGGTAACACGAATTGCAGTTGAAATAATGAGCCACCTTAATCACAATTCTAACAATCAGACTCATGGCAACACTATCTTAGCTTTTATAGCCCTAAGACCATTGTCAGTAACAGACGCAGTAGCAGAGAAATCAAATTCAAATTACCAGCTTCCAAGCAGAAAAATATGGACACATGCATTCTGAACTCCATGGGGCACAGAGAAGGATATATTAAACTAGAGTAGATTGGAGCAGATGACAAAGGGCTTTGCAGGTGATACAAGGACAGGTAACAGCCAGGAGAGACTTTGGGGCAGCAGAGTCCTGATTCTTGACTCTATTTAATGGGTCTTTTCTAAATTACTTAAGACAGTTGAAGAGTAATTCAGGATAAGTGCCTCACTGGAATGCTGCAACATGTGTAACTGAATTCACTAGAAAGGCTTCTAAATGGTATGCAATTTGCACCACAATGACTCATGTTTTGTTTTTTTTTTTTTTACCTTAAATGTATAAGATCTTATAAATCCTGCGTAGTTTAGCAAAACTCAAAATGCTCAGCAAAGGGTTGGATCAATCAAATGCCAACTAACCCTTGCTATTAGATTAAACCATCAAGCTTATGAATTAATAAAATATGACATGTAATTTAATATTAAAATGTGATTGGCTCTTAGCATACATACAGATAATAATCTTCTACTAGCACTGGATCTTCATCAATGTAGGACCCATTCCACTTCCAGTAGATCACGTCACTGAGCAGGCCAGTGACATTACAGATCAATTGTATCTGGGATCCTGGAAAGCAATGTATTTTCAATCATAAGATTAACTGATTTTTATTCTGATCTGTCTATATAAACACCTAGATTAATAAGTGGCTATTGAATAAAAATTTTAAATTATAGAAAAGCACAAAGAAACATTGTCCTTAAACCCACCACCCAGAGACAACCGCTATTAGTAACTTTATCTATCTCATTCCTTATCTTCTCTGTGAACATAAGCAATTCTTAAAATAGGGTCTTATAATGACTGTGGATTCAGAATTTCGGTCCACATGATTAGCCTTCCAGAATAGACTCTGTCTTGACTGCTTAGTAGTCCATAGTGCAGATATTCTACAATCAACTATTTTCCTATTGCCAAACACAATTTGTTTCTCACTTTTCATTATGATGATTAATATTCCAGTGAACATCCTTGTACATCAGTGTATGTGATCACCATTTGCCCCAAAACTTCCAGATAACAAGTGTTTGGGGTTAGTCATTGACAATTGAGAGAGAAAAAGAATCCATTTAAATTTCTATCTGCATTTCTTGAATTCATGGTGGATTAACATGTTTCTCATAAGCTTAGTCCTCATTGGCCTTTCTTTGAAGAACTAACTGCCTGTTATGTCTGCTGTCTATGCATCCTCACATTAATCTTGTTGATGCATAGGAACTCTTTATTTGTCAAAGGATATCAACTGTTTATCACATGTGAAAAATATTCAGTTGGTTTCTTATGTTTTACTTTTGCTAATGAAAACTCATCGATGTAGATTTTTTTATTTGGTCACGTGTATAAATTTTTCTTTATTGTATCTGCTTTCATTATATTTCTTCTAAAAGCCCTCTCTACCACCAAATCAGGAAAATACCCACGTATATTTTCATTTAGGTGTAGAACGTTTTCATTTTTTTATTGTTTTGATTGTTTCTGTTCTTTTCTTTTTTTAAGACTCCCTTGCTATGTTTTCATTCTTTAATCTGTCTAGAAAGTAATTGTCTGTAGTATGAGGGAGACCTTTAACTTAATGTTTCTATTCAAATAGCTGAAGGATCACTCTAGAATCACTTATTGATACTAAATTTCCCCCTCACTAATCTGTAATGCCGCCTTTATCATAAAATAAATTCTCACTTCTTTTGGACTTTCTGGGTTGATCTGCATATGTATACTGATGCCAAGGATACCACACTCTTTTAATTACTAGAGTTTTAGAGTAAATACTATTAATAATATCATTTAGAGCTCATCTCACCAGTCTTATCTTAATACACCTCATCATTTTATCCTGCCCAGTGAATTTCAGAATTACTTGCCAATTTTTAAGTCCATTCATATTTTTATTAGAATTCCATTAAGGCTATAAATTAATTTTCAGGTTGATATCTTTACAATTTCTAGTTTTTCATATAGGAAAAACACACACATCTATATTACAATTTTCCTTAATTGGTGTTTCTCAAGATTTTTTTCATTATTGCCCCCTTTGGAGGCTTTTCAGACATGTTTTCCCTAACTGCCTCCTTTCCCATAAATTTTTAATATCACAAATAAACAGTATATCTGTGGATGTAGATTTTTTTCACCCCAAGAACCAATTTTCTCCTTATTGGAGACAATATCACCCATCCCCACTTTGAGAATGCATGTTTTAAATCTCAGTGTTTCTGAGATTTATACTTCAGGGTTTTGGTTTTTTGGGTTTTTTCTTCTCTTACAAATTCCACATATTTCTAAAAGATTTTACCAAAATATTTTATAGATATTTCAAAGACATTTATTGTTTGAAATGATATCTCTTTTCCTATTATATTTTCTAGCTGGTTATTGCTAAATAAGTCTACTATTTTAGGATATTAATTTTATATCTGGCTAATTAATAAGATACTAATTTTAATTTTTCCCAGTAACTTTTTTGGGATTTGTAGGTAGGTAATTTTATGATCTGAAAATAATAATAAAAATATCTTTTTTCTCTTATAGTAAGTATACCTTGTTTTTTTTTTTCTTTGATGGCATTAGTGGGCACTTCTAGAACATGTTAAGTAATACTGGTTTCATGGGCATCTTTGTCTTGCTCTTGACTTCAGTGAGAATGTCTATTGCTATTAAGAACGTTGGTGGCTTTTGGTTTGCATTGATGCTATTTATTAAGGATGTATCCCTCAATGACTATTTTTCTAAATCTAAGTCATTGGTAATTGACTTAGGTATTGGATCTTATCAAATGCCTGTTTGACACCCTTTAGGATAATCCTGTAACAGAGTACTATGTGCTTCTGAGCTACTGTCACTGTGATATATTAAAATAATTATTTCCTAATATGAAGCTATTTTTATTAGGAAACATTTTATCAATGCAACCTAGGCTTCATAGCTCTCAATTACACAATTCCAGAGCAAGCATTCTCAGCAGGGGCTATGACCAATACCGCAAAAAGGAGTTCTTGGGGAGGGGTAAGAAAATCATAGATATTACAATGGTTTCAGCCCTCCAAAGGATCAGAGCATATGAACAGATGTACAATAGACCTTGGGACTGGAATTCTGAGAAGGGAAGGAGATTAGGGGAAAAAATGTCTTTTTAGGCTCTGAAGGGGAACGATTTAAAGAAAAAAAAGTTCAGAAACACAGCTCAAGATTCTATTGGCCCGTGTTTAATTTTGAGTTTGGACATCTTTGTTTATATCTAAGACCATCTTTATGTCACCTTCCACCATAAATACCAAGTGCAGCATTGGCAAAGTACAGAATTCATAGGTCACAAACGGTGTACTTTCTAATCTCTGCAGTTGTTCACTGTCTTTATGCAGTTACCATTACAGAAGAGAATTCCAAGACAAGCCTGATTTTTGTTCCTCTAATGCAAGAATAAGTTTTGACGTCTTGACTAGTGGTTTCCAATAGAACTTTCAGTGATGATGGAAATGTTCAATATTTGTGCTATTTTATTTGGTAGTCACTGGTCACATGCGGCTCTTAAGCCCTTGAAATATGGCTAATGGGACTGAGGAACTGATTTTTAATTGAACTAAATGAATTAATTGACAATTTAATTTTACATGTGCATAGCTACACGTGGCTAGTAGCCATCGTACTGGACAGTCCAAGTCTGGACGCTTATGAGGTTCTTTATTCTTGAAATAAAAAGTTCTCACTTTTTATTTGGAAAAGTATTTTTCTGGGAGTACTATCATCTTTTTGGCCTTTGAGCTTACTCTTCTGACTAAAAAGTTAGCTTTGGTCATAAGATGTCCATGGTATATCAGTCAAATAAATTACATTTCTCATTCCTAGGTCTTCTAAATTTGGCTTTCGGCTGGTATTTTCATGGGCAAAAAGTGGAGGCAGGAAAACCAGACATGGCTGGATTTATGCCACAGAGGCAAGAAATTAAAAAATCAATATTTTAAGATATAATTTGTGTCACTTTCCCATTAATTATAGATATATTGAATAAATATATGGTAAAGGTACAATTTAGTCTTGACTTATTCTTGACTTCAAAAAAAAAAGTGATTTCAGCGTATCCTGGTGGGAGCCCACTTACCCAAGTCTACTTCCATTGTCTCGTTAGCTGGACTCACAATCACAGGCCTCACTGGCTTATTATCCTCTGAAAGAAAAACATCCACAGGGCTGGTCAGTTTCTTATAGATCAGAACCTCAAGTGATGACAACACTTCCCAAAGTATACTAAATGGCATCTGGCCAGATACTCCCTCGAGTGCTCCAGGCATATGTGGCAGGAGGCAGGAAGTGAAAAGTGAAGGAAGAAAGCTCAGGCAGAGGCCACTGCAAACTGTGAACACCCACTGCAAAGCTGTACCCTTCTGAACCCACAGAGTTCAGTGCTACAGAAAAATACACACATCACCAGGACCCTGCATCCCCACACAGGTACCTCTCTTAAATTTAAGCAAATCAGGAATGTCAGTAGTAGTGGAAAGGCATTTCCTTGAACTGGACATTATTGATCAGAGGGGATTAGTCAATGCTAGACCTGCTTGTACTTAGTGACTTTGGTAATGACCCAATAGTGAAACCTATAGGGCTATCGAAGAATGCCATAATTTATTAAAATAGGTTAAAAATGAATCAAGGAGCTCCAGAAATTAATCTGGCTCTTATATATAAGAAAATTGGCTGCTTATAAATAAGACAGTTGATCTGTGGCCAAGAAGAAAATATGAGAAAATATAAACTTGAACACTCAGTATTTCCCCAGCCCAAAAAAGAAAAAAAGAAACAAAGAAACAAACAAACAAACTAAATAAAGCCATGAGGGCAGGATATTATCTCTTTTGTATATTAAGTATACTCCCTAATGTATACCTAGAACACTTCCTGGGACACAGTAAATGCTCAATATATATTTTTCAATTTAGGAGTGAACAAAAAGCACTAAGCATCATTGGGGTGGCCCTTGGGAAGAAAACAAAACATTACCTCACCCCTGAACAGAGTATATTGTTTCTTTACAAGTGGGATCAGAAAAGGAGACAGAGAGTATTTAAAATACACTTGACCTATCTTGACAATTCCCCAGTGCCCAGTTCTCCCTAGAGTTCTACTTGCTGGTTTGGTTGCTACATCTCAGGAAAGACAACCAGAGCTATTCAATGACAAGGACAGGCTGCTAAAAACTCAAAACCATGGTTGTGATACTAAGACCACTGAAAATTAGGATTCACTGATTCTTGTGGGACCAAGGTGAGGAATTAATTTTTATTTAATAAAATCAATCCTTGAAAAAATAAATCATTATAATCATAAAAATGTAGCTATACGTAGGGTGATCATATAGGTTGATTGGGATAGTCCCAATTTATGCCTGTTGTTCCAGCATAATTACTAGTAGACACACCCCTTTAACCTGCAAAAAAGTTCTGGTTAGAATAACTCTTCTAATATTACTTAAAGCTTATAGAATCTCAATATTTACAGAAAGGTTGAGCATTCTGCTCATTCTCAAGTAATTTGTAGGACTGCATTTTGTTTCATTTGCTTGCAAAATAGTTTTTATTATGAGACATGGCTAATGCAGAATTGAAAGCCCCAAGAAAATTAACAGGAACAATCATCGTATACTTACTTGTTTCACACCTGTTTTGCACTAAGCACTGATTTACACCAGGCACACAAGCTTAGCATACCTGATCTCTAATCTGTCCAACAACCTTGGGAGATCATATCCATCTTGTTATAAAGGAGGAAATGGGCTTAAAGAGTTTAAGTAACAGCTAACATGGAACGAACAGGAAGTAGATTCTGGGAATAAAACATATTCTAGAGCCCATTAGCATCCATGCCAATAATGCCAACAATCCCCGTTGCTAGACACTCAGACTCCCCAAGTGCAGGCTCTCAGAACATTCCCATATACCAGCCAGAAGGAGCCCAGAGCTCTCTGGAAGAACCATCTTGAGACAAGTCAAGGTACAACCCTTCTAGATCAGCTGGGAAATATAGCTCATAATGTCTCTGTTTAATTAGCACTATGTCTGAAGCAGGAATTAAAAGCAGTACATAGTATACAGTAACCAAAAAAACAAAACTAAAGCCATATGAATGACCTTCATGCAGTTATTGGTCTTGTTTTGGATTTAGTTCCTCCCATAAACCATGAAAGTAATATTTGGTCATGGTCTCTGGGCCTTCCCAGATCTAAACTTGTATAGCTGGAACTATGACTCACCTAGAGTAATAAATTCTATTACCCGGGTAACAGGATATTGCTTTCCCAAGTATGTGTAGGATGCCTGACAAGTGTAGGTCCCTCGATGCTCTTGAGACACATTTATCATGATGAGCTTATCAGCAACTCCACTGAAGTGAATATTGTCAAGAAGTAGAGGTTTGCCATCCTAGACAAAGGGACAGAGAAGAAGCACTGAAAACCAGTTAATAACTTTCCCCAATCTACCAGCAAAAGGAACTCCATTTTTTCACATTAGCAAATGTTATGTTTTTTAAAAGTACTGGAAAGGTTCCTTGCATACAATGCATTTTAATATTGCACTTCTTTTTTTTTGTCAAAAATTAATTATATTTCTATAATACTAAATTTTTATGCCTGTGAGCCTTATGCTAATGAAGACAAATGAAGGCAGATTTATTTTGTAAGAAAAAATGTTTGCGGAAAGAATAGTAATACTATATAGTTTCTCATCAATCCTGTACTTCATTTCTTCACTGATATTATGTATTTTGTATCTCTTAACCTCTCCAAGATGATTCCCCATTTAAGTTCCACCAGACTAGGTAAAGTTACCAGAGCATGATGCGCTCTATGGAATGCTCGTCAACCCAATTTTAAGACAGTTACAGAAACAGGTTACAGAAACCTCAAACAGGTTATTTGAGGACCACTTAATATCTTTAACAAAACACAAAATAATGTATTTTGTAACAAATAGTTATCTCTTAAATACCTTGAGTGTATAATCAGCCTTTTCTTTAAATATCTGTATTTCTATTACTTTTCTCAGTTATATTTTATTAAATTAAATTAAAACAAGAGCAGGTAAGATTTTAGTTAAGCTTCAAATTAAATGAATGCAGTCTTACAATTCTTTCTAGATTCCCTGTTAAGTTTCACCACTAAAGAGAAAAAATATGCAAAAGAAAAAGGTACTTTGCAGATTCAGGCTATTGTCCAGAGAACTATTTTATTTGCTGAAAAAGTAAAATACCATATTTAAAATAAAATTACCTTATACCACTGCACTTTGGATAACTCATTAGTTTCATCATTATAATGTTCCAAGTAAGGGCACACAAGTACCCCATCTCCTCCAAGGGGCAGTTTCTGTGGAAATATCGCTTCTGCATTGTAACATGAGTTAGGCTCATTCTCCACAAATTTTGTAGTTATTTTAATTTTGAGGCAGTAAGATGAATTTCTAAAATGAAGTAAAATAGGTAAATTAAGCATTATTAAAAGAATTTTCTATCCTTAACTACTGCAGGTACCTAGAAGACATGTTTGTAACATATTAATTCCTTTCTTACCTTACTACACAATAGTAATGTCCTGAATCCTCCACCTTAGCAGGAACAAACCAAAGTTTATTTTTGTACTGATGAATCCTGGAGTTTTGTGCTGTAGAAATAGGTGTCTTGCTGTCATTTTTATACCAAATTATAGTGCCTTTGTTTTCATCTGGGTTAAGACAACAGGCACGAACATCAATTTCATTTGCAAATGAAACTAGATTTATTTTTTCTTCGCGTTCTTCGCATTTATCTTTAAAAGAGAGAAAAGGGAAGCAATTTCGATTAAAAAAAATTTGCCAATGTTTCTTAGTTTGACATCTACTAACAAATACATCAATTATGAAACACATCAATTCATATTACATATTTAAAAAAAAACTTTACAGCCTTGTGATTGAGAGCATTATCTTGGGGAGGGGGGAGGTCTGAAAACTTTTTTTTTTTTTTATTTTGGCATATTATGGGGGTACAGATTTTAAGGTTTCAATAAATGCCCATTTCCCCCCTCCCCCCAAAAGTCTGAGTCTCCATCATGACCATCCCCCAGATGGTGCACATCTCACTCATTATGTATGTATATACCCGCCCCCCTCCCCCCTCCCACCTGCCCAATACCCTATTACTGTAGCACCTATGTGTCCACTTAGGTGCTACTCAGTTAATACCAGTTTGCTGGAGAATATATCTGGTGCTTGTTTTTCCATTCTTGGGATACTTCACTTAGTAGTATGGGTATTCAAGTCCTGCTATGTCACTTACTGCCTGTGTGCTGTGCCATTGGCAGGTTATTTAAGCTATCTCACCCACTCTTTATTCATCTAAAAAGTTGGGATAGTGTAGAACAAAGCTCAAGGACGTTTTTAGTAATACAAAAATATCCAGCAACCAACAAGTTAATATCTACCACATCTAATGTCCAATAAAAAATCATAAGGCATGCCAATAATATACAACCAATAATGAGGAGGGGAAAAAATAATCAACCAAAACTGACCCAGAAATGACACAGATGATAGATATAATAAACAAGAAAATTAAAGTCATTATTACTACTGTATTCCATTTATTCAAGATGCTAGAGGAAATATCAAACATGTTGAGTAGAGATATGAAAGAGATTTAAAAAAAAAATAAAACTTTTAGAGAAGAAAACTACAATTTTGAGTTAAAAATATAATAGAGAGGGTTAATGACAGATTTGACATTGAAGAAAAAAAGATTAATGAACTTGAAGACATAGCATTAGAAACTATCCAAAACTAAGCACAAAGAGAAAAATAACAGAACAAAATGGATAGGGTACCAGTTAGCTTAGGACAACTTCAATACATGTAATATGAATCACTGAAGGAGAGAAGCAGGGAAAACAGAAAAAATATTTGAAGAAATACAGGCTGAAACTTTTAAAGATGTGATGAAAGTGATTTGTCCATAGGCCCCCAAATCACAATGACCTCTAAGCAAAAGAAACATGAAAAAAAAAAAACTACACCAAACACATAATACCCAAATGGTTTAAAATCAGTGATAAAAAAAAAAAATCTTACAAGTAGCCAGAGAGAAAAGACACAATTAGTACACAGGAACAAAGACAAAAATGGCATAGCCTTCTTTTCACAAACAATACAAGCCAGAAGAGAGTAGAACAATATCCTTTATGCACTGAAAGAAAAAAAGTCAACCTAGAATTACATTTCCAGTGAAAATATCTTTCGAAATTAAGGAAAAATAAAGACTTTGTTCAGACTTAACAAAAGCTATATGATGTCATCACCAGTAGACCTGCTGTATAAGAAACACTTAAGGAAGTCCTTCAGAAAGATGGAAAATATTATCAGATGAAAATGAATCTACACAAAGGAATGAATAGCACCAGAAATGTTAACTACATGAGTAATTATAAAATAGTTTTTCTTATTATTTAAATCTCTTTCAAGAAAACTGAATGTTTAAAGCAAACATAGTATACTGTGAGGTTTACAACATATAAAAAAGTAAGACATGTGGAAACAATAAAGCAAAGTTCAAGAAAGGAGAAGTGGATGTATACTGTTTTAAGTATTTTATACAATACACTAAATTGTATAGTACACTTAAAGATACGCAGAGATAACTTAAAGATAGATAGTCAAGCCCTAGAGTACTCATTTAAAAAACAGACATACACACTACAAAGAGTTATGACTAATAAATAAGCCAATAAAGGAAATAACATAAAATCGTAAAATTTTCAATTAATCCAAAAGGCAAAAAAAAGATGAAAAAATAACAGAATTGATGAGACATGTAGAAAACAAAATAACAAGATCCTAGAATTAAACCCAAATATATTAATAATCATAGTGTATTTCAAATAATCTAAACACCCCACTTGAAAGGCAGAGATGATCAGATTGGGTAAAGAAAGATCCCTAAATACATATATTCACACACACACTTTACATATAATGACACAAATAGGTTAAGAATAAAACAAGGGAAAAAGATATCCCATGCTTACACTAATCATAAGAAGACTTGATTAATTAGCTCACTTTAATCATTTCACAATATATACATATACCAAAACATCACAAGGTAGAATGTAAATATAGATAATTTTTGTCAACTTCACCTTAATAAAAAAATGAAAATAATACATTAATTAAAGCTGGAGTGACTATATATTATTACCAGAGTAGTTTTACAGTAAAGAATATGACCAGAGAGAAAAGGGTCATTTCATACTGATAAAGAAGTCATTCATCAAAAGGAACACAATAGTACTAAACATTTATGCACCTATAAACAGTACTTCAAAATATGAAGCAAAAAGTGATAGAACTTTAAAAACTAGATAAACCAGCTCTGCAAGAAACTAGAGAAACCCTACTCACAAGGAATGAAAGAACAATCTAACAGATAATCAGCAATGATATAGAAAATTTGAATAACACTATCAACCAATTTGATATAATTGATATTTACAGAAAATTCTACCCAACAACAGTGGAATGTAGATTCTTTTTAAAGAAATTCTTAAGAAGTTTTTTAAGATCAAATAACTTACTGACATATACCATATTCTTCCCCATCAATCAATACTCAGTGAATTTGAAAGGATTCGAATTAGACAAAGTATATACTCTGGTGACAATAGAATTAAATTAGAAATCAATAACAGAAAGATATCTAGGAAGTCCCCATATATTTAAAAGTAGCACACTTCTAAATAACCCATGAGTCAAAGAAGAAATCAAAAAGGAGAGTATAAAGTATTTTTACCTGCAACATAAAGCAAACACAATATCAAAACCTGTAGAGTTCAATGACAGTGGTACTGAGAGGGAGATTGATAGCACTACATGCCTATATAAGAACAAAAAAAGAATCTCAAATTGATGACTTCAGCTTCCACCTTAAGAAATGACAAAAGGGACAGAATACATCCAAAGTAAGCAGTAAGCAGATGTTCTATGCCTGGGACTTCATTTATAAAGGGGACTGAATGATAACACAGAGAAGCTAACATCATTGAAAGAAGACTTTCATTACTGACATTTGTCAAAGAAGGGGTGTGCCACATCACCAAAAGCCACAGAGGGAGTAACTCAGTTAGGTTATGAGGCAGATGTAGGAACAAGGGGGAAAGGCCAGAGCCTTTATTGGGGTTTCCATGGGAAAGACAAGGCTGGGTAACATAAACAGTGTAGGATTGGCCAGTCTGAGTCATTTTAGCAAGATTTGGGCATAGAGGCTGTCCCTAGCTGTTTGGTACCTGGCCCTGGGTTGATTTAGGGAAGGAGTAATATTGGTTTGATGTGTGAGCGTTGGACAAGAATGTGGGGTGGGGCACAGCTCTGAATCAGGCAGTCTCACGTGAAAGGCTTGCTCCAGACAAGCTTCCCACAACCCCTAGCGACTACCTAGCCCTCTGAGAAGCAGTCTCTCTCACAGATACAAAAGACCACCCAAAATGTCAAAACATTATAAAATACAAAAAATTTTAAAACATGATTAATACAGTAGAAGAATTAAGAAGTAGAAAAAATAGTAAATGATATAGATCAGAGAGGAAATCAATGAATTAGAAAACAGAAGAACAATAAAGAAAAATCAAAGACACCAAATGCTAATTCTTTCATAAAATCAATAAAATTAGTAAGTCTCTAGCCAGACTAATCAGGTAAAAAAAAAAAAAAAAAGAAGTGACATCTTTCATTAAAGGAATTTTTAATGGGTAGTAAAGGGAATATTATGAACAGCTTGATGCCAATAAATTCAACAACATAAATGAAATGGGCAAATTATTTGAGAGACACAGACAGCTTAAGCTCTCCCAAGAAGAAATAGATAGCCTGAATTGTCCTACATTTATTAAAGACTGAATTTGTAGCTAAAAATCATCCAGCAAAAAAAAAAAAAAATTATGCCTCAATGGCTTCGCAGATATATTCTACCAAGCATTTGTCAAAGAAATAATACCAATTTTAACAGAAAATCAAAGCGGCAGTAATACTTCCCAACTCACTCTATGAGATCAACATTATTCTGATACCAAAACTAAAGACATTACAAGAAAACTGTAAACCAGTCTCCACCAGGATCATAAATGCAAATTTTCTTTCAAATATTTTAGTAAATATAACCCTACAATATATAAAAAAGGATGATGCAGTATGAAGTAGACTATATCCCAGGAACTCAAAGTTGACATTAAAAAAATTAATGTAAAAAAAATTAATGTAATTTTTAAAATTAATGTAATGCTACATACTAAGGGATTTTAAAAGAAAACTATATGATAATCACAATAGATGTAGAAAAAGCATCTAATGGTATGCTTCATCTAAAAAGGTGAGAAAAAATTCTCAGCAAACTAAGAATACAAGGGAATCTCCTGAACCTGAGAAGAGACAGCTATGAAAAACCTACAGTTATCCTATATGGTGAGACTGGGCACAGGACAAGGATGCCTGCTATGACTGCTTCTATTCAATATTATACTAGTGGATCTAGCCAGCATATTAAAGCAAGAAAAAGAAATAAATGACATCCAAGTTGGAAAAGAGAAGTAACACGATTTTATTTGCAGACAAGATGATCATTTATGTAAAAAATGCTATGGAATCTAAAAAAGATCTATAAATATTATAAAATTATAGGATATAATATGAATGTACAAAATTGAATGTGTTTGCAGATGGTGCAAAGGATATTTCAAAACTGGATTTTTAAAAATAACATTTAGAGTAGCATCAAAATATATTA